ATTGTCAAACCATTTACTTTTAAGTATTGGTATGACAATTAAATAATAAATATAAAACATATAAACGTAGTACAAATTGCTAAATACATTCAAATCACATCACATCAACAGCCTTTCATACCACTGCTGGACATAGGCCTCTCCTTAGAAAGGAGGTTTTGGCCTACTATACCACGCTGGCCAGACGGGTTGGTTGAGGGTTTGTGTCAAGTTTTCCTTCTTTTTGCAGTGCTGGTGTACTGCGTTGTTTTTCGCCCTTAGTTGACTTTTACGACACCTACGGGATGAATTCGGGTAGTGACATTCCGTATTCTTAATCCGTCACTACACGGACCAATACATACACGGACCGGCTAAATACATTGCAATAATAAATACAAATATAACAGCATCTGTTGCCACTAAACTAACCATAAAGTGAACACAAGATGGGCAGCTGGTTTTCTCATTTCACTTTCATTCCAGTGATTGATTGAGAACCAGTTGGACCAGATTCTTCATTGCGTAATTATAAGTATGTTACTTAGATAACAAGGTTATTGACATTATCAATGATATAATTTGAACTTACTTATAAATTACATGCAAAGCTACATCATCTGTCTTCGCTCCTTTAAAATTATGTACAATCTTCTCTTTTTTTTTGCGTAAATCCCCTCGGATATCACCCACCGGTGGTTATGTCGGACTCGAACCGACCAAAAACTGCATGCCGTCTTTGGTACCAGTTGCTGGGGAACTAGGTGTACCCTAGGAAGGAAATCCCTGATACCCTATTCGTGCCATCTACTGTGTGGGAACCCTCTATGTCCCCTTTGTGCTCCTGAAAGGGCGCGCCCCCCGGCCGGTTATTCTGTGGAGCGCCGTGTCCACCGTCCAGTCATCGCAGTGGTGGCACTCAGGCGTTGGCTCCTTGCGGATCAGACACACAGCGATCCTCCATAACGGGTCTTACCGCCGCGAAAATGTGCCCAGTGCTCGGTTGCCATAGTCGTACCTTCCACTCCTCCACGAGAACCTGCTGGAGTTGGGAATTTTAATCTTCGATTTCTCGAAACTCAGAACAATGACCCAACTCCCGCGCCTTCCTGCGCCACTGATACAGAGCCGCAAGGGCTCTCGCCTCCAGGTCCCACGGTGGAGTTCCGGCCAGAAGACTCGCCGCCTCAAAGGAGATCGTGCGGTACCCCCTCATGACCCTTATGACGCCAACATCACTTCGCCCCGGAAAACCGCTTCCTCCGCCAGAGCCCTCACACGCATGAGCGCATCCACGGTGGAGCACCCCTGACGGACGCCGTACTGGTTGTCCGCTAGATCCGGCCCCACTATGACCTTGCAATCACTCTTTCGAAGAGTTTGTACATCTCGGCAAGCAACACTATGGGCCTGTAGCCGGATGGTGAGTCCACTGGGCGCCCCTCCTTTCGGATGAAGACCAGTTTACCCGTCTTCCAGAATTTTGGAAACTGGCTCCGCTCGAGGCATGAGCTGAAGAACCCTCTCTGTCAAGGTTCGAGAGCTTCGTCATCTAAGGCCAGGACCCACGCTTGGTCTGGAATTACTTCAGGCCCTGGGGCGGTGTTTTTGGCTTTAAGCCGTAGCACCGCCACCCTTAATTCTGCCCAAGTGACCACAGGCACGTCGTCGTCATCCACGTTAGGCGTCTCGAGCGCCGGAGGCGGAGCCATCTGTGGTGGGGTGTGTTCCACCACTTGCGATGGGAATCTCTTATTTTGTGTTTTTGATGTCAGGTAAAAAAATGTCGTTAAAGTGCATAATTAACTTTAACGATACATTTTTTAATATAAAAAGGAAAACATATCCAAACCCTAGTACTATAGTATTAACAGACCCAATGAAATATTTTTTTTAGTAATCTGATAATTAATTCGTTTGTTTTTAATTATGTATAATTAGGAAATTTACTTAACATAAGAGGAGGAGGATCAGTGCTGAGAACGTGAGAACCGCGTATATCTGATGTATTTTATTTAGAAATCTATGAGTATATGAATGAATAAGAAACGTACCAACAGGAGGAAATTGCGTCTGAACATAACTTGATAAGGTTGAAAATATGGAGGTTGAAAGTTAGGTTACCTTGTCATCAAGTATTCTTGGTGACCAATAACTTGCATCAATTTACCTTTTAAAAAAAAAAACCGCTTTGATAAAAAAGGAAGGCTAAACTTATTTTTAGCATAGACTATTAAGACGCATTTACAAGTACCTAGTCAACTGGTTCAGTAATTACTTTTAAACGTGTTATTTAGATTTTATGTTGTTGTTATTTTTATTTATTTATTTATTTTTTTATTTTACATCTTCATGCACTTATGTACATCGGCGGACTTAATGCCCTGGGCATTCTCTACCAGCCAACCTTTAGGTGGTGTAGAAATCTCGTAGGGTAGGTGCACCGAGGTTACGATTGTATCAATGATTGTAAATAATTGTTTATCTAAAACTAAGCAAAATCTACAAATATTATGCATATAAGTTATAATGTAATACAAATATAATTACACATATATATAGAAATAAATATAGATATAAATACATATTATTTATGTTTGTACACTGTGAATGCTTGAATTTAGGAGGTGTACCATTTGTTAAGTCACTTCCGCCATCTCCTCAAGAAGGTAATTATGTACATTCCTTTTAAATGCGAAACGGTTTGTGGACATCCTGATTTCGAGTGGGAGCGCATTCCAGAGCAGAACTACTTGTACAAAGAACGAGGAGTTCACGAAGTCTGAGTTGTGGGGGGGACACAAGAGAAGCAAATTATTCGTTGATCTAAGATTTCTGTCGTGATTAGAGGACAAGAAACGGATGTAAGGATCGAGGTAGGTGGGTGAAAATGGGCAGTTGAGGAATGAAAACAGAGAGGTCAGCGCTCGCTGATTGCGACGTAAGCGAATAGGTAGCCATTTTAATTGGGAGCGTAAAGCAGACACATGGTCATACTTGCGAAGATTGAATATGTATCGAATGCAGTTATTGAGAAGACGGTCTAGCTTATTGAGGAGGTCTGCATTCAGGTCGAAGTAACACACATCACCATAGTCAATTATAGGAACAATTAGGGACTGCATGAGAGAGGTTTTCGTTTTAGTGGGCAAGAAGTTTTTAAGTCGGTATAGTGTTCGCAGGTTACCCGTTACTTTTTGGCTCACATGAGTAACTTGAGCTATGTAAGTAGTAACTTGTTATCTATGGACTATTTTTGTTTAATTGTTGTAACAATGTATACATGGGCTATCATGGATGTTATGTCAATGAAAACTATCGTACTTTATTGGCTATGATTTTTATCAGAATAATACTTAAGTATAATATGCATATTAACGTGTACATTTGTTTACTTATTTATCATAGAGACTCCAACAGTATTCAGAAACAACATTAAAAAACAACATAAGTACATTACGGCACAGTTCTGTAGACCGTTAAAGGCAAGCACAGTTGACAGAAAAAGATTGAAAAATTATACCTAACACATTATTTATTATTAACATATTATTTTTGATTAGAATGTAAGCTTATTAAATAAATAAGATTACATTCTAATTTCAAATCCGTGTGGTGACGCCTCAAAGCATCATCTTGGTCCTCGTACATAACGGTACGCTCCTCTAAGTAGTCTGCCACTAGCCGCCTTAGGTACTCTGGCACCCCATGATAGAGAGAGAGAGAGAGAGAGAGAAAACGTAGAGAACGCCGCGCCACGTGACCCTACTGGAGTCCTGGGTTCGGGAGAGCACCCACAGATGATGACATTTTAATTTTAGCGTCAGAAACTAGTTTCCTCCATTCAAGTCCAACAATTTGACTTGACTGCACGGATGGCGTAGTGGTTTAAGTGGTCGCCACGCCGCTTCCTACTGCGCCGAGTGTTGTGGGTTCAAACCCCACATGGGACGACACTTTGTGTGATCCACAGATTGTTGTTCTGAGTCTGGGTGTTCTTTGTGTCTGTTTCATGTATGTTTGTAAAGTCCCCCGCGACACAGGATATATTCCTAATGCGGGAGTTGTCTCATAAAAAAAAAAAAAAAAAAAAAAAAAAAATTATCATATTTTTTATTTTTTGCCTCCTCTTTTCCTCTAGCATCCATATGTTTGAGTGATCCACGCAACCTTGTCTGTGTGTCTTAAAAGTATTTTTTTTTTCCTAATTTTTGCTAATTTACGTCATCGTAGCGTGATGTTATATAACCCATAGCCTTCCTCGATAAACGGGCTATCTAACACTAAAAGAATTTCTCAATTCGAACCAGTAGTTTCTGAGATTAGCGCGTTCAACCAAACAAAGCTTGCCTAGATTACGCTGTTCATTGGTCACGATTATCAGATTTAAATCATTAATTTTTAACAAATATTATCACAGACTTCACAATCACGATTAGTAACAAACTTTCTTTTCTTTTTAAAAGACAACTCCTGCTTTAGCAATATATCCTGTGTCACGGGGGACTTTAAAAACATACATGAAACGGGCAGAAAGAACACCCAGACTCAGAATAACAATTTGTGGATTACACAAAGTGTCGTCCCATGTGGAGTTCGAGTCCACAACACTCGGCGTAGTAAAAATCGGCGTGGCGACCGCTTAATACGCTACGCGGCCGATGTTATTTTTATTTAAATAAAAGGACTAAACGTTAAAGTATAACCTCCCATATAAAAATTTGAGAACCTTTTGAAGCCGGTTAAGGTTCTTTCCCATGAAAATTTGTTTTCGAATGAGTTTACCTATTATTTAATGTATTTACAATATGTAGGTTTATTACCTACTTATCAACGCACTTTCCGCTGGTTAATGTTGTTACGTTAATTATTTTCGTTCTTTTTGCTATGTAATGTGTAGTGTATGTACCTATACGTCTCTCGTGTCTATGTATTGTCTCACGTGCACGAGTGGAGGGGAGACAGTCGCATGCGAGCCGTTGGCGAGAGCGAACGTGTTGACCCTAGGTGCTGGTAACGTAATGAGGCAATACCTAACCTTTGTGTTAGTACGAGCACTACAAATGGCGACGAGGCTAAAGGTTAGTGCAAAAAATATGATTGCGCTTAACATCTTACATTAAAAATAAAGAATAAGAGGGTACATATGAAATAAATATTTTTTTAGTTAAAAATATTTACAATGGAGTGAGACACTACTTAGATTGTAAAACTATTTTGTGACTAATTTATCAGTATTAAGTTAGTTGTCGAAGGTTACTTTGTTTACATTGCGGAATAGAGGAAAAAAAATTACAAAAAAAACTTTGTTTGCCACAAAAATTCATACTCTAATTATAGAGAGAGACAAATGTCGTCTGATCCCAGTAGTTCCATAATCTAGTTCCATTATGGTACTACTGGGATTTTTTTCTCCCAATAGTTCCATGGAACTGAAATACTTTTTACTTTTTAACAAAAAAAGGTACAGTTCATAGCTGAATCCGAGAAACTAAAATTAAATAAGTTCAAACCATATCGGCCTTTAATATTAATTACTTTGTCCTTCACAAAGAAATTAATATTAAAGGTTCTTAATTTAATTAATCTTAAGTTCTGTATTATTTGCCTTTTAGCAACTGATTTGCTATATTTCCTAAAACATAATAATTTTCAATAAATATACTAAGGGAGGGATGTAGTGTATGTACCTATACGTCTCTCGTACCTATGTATTGTCTCATGAGCATGGGTGGTGGGGAGACCACAGGAATCGTAAGTATAACGATTTCTATGGTCCCCCATAGAAATCAGTCCGAGCAAGCCGTTGGCGAGAGTTTACGTGATGACCCTAGCTGCTGGTGACGTAATGAGCCAATACCTAACCTATTTGTCCTATATAATAAATGCAGAAAAGTATCCTTTTTCCTTCTTTACATAGTATAAAACAAAAGTCCCTTTTTGTGTTGTACGCTTAAATCTTTTAAACTAAGCAACGGGTTTGAATGCAGTTTTCATCAATAGAGAGAGTGATTCGAGAGGAAGGTTTATATGTATAAAACATGCATATTATAGATATAAAATTGCTCTTTTCAGTATATCAATAAAACGAATAGTTTAGAAGATATTAGAGGTGTAAAATCGGTCCCGGGCCGGCAGGATCGGAGCAGGCCTATAAATATTGCATTTAAAGATGTCCTGTGGTATAGTCCTAACATAATAATAGTATAATTAATTACTCCACACTCACACCACATTAGTAGTATCTACATTACATCCGTACAAGTCCGGGGCGGGTCGCTAGTATATTATAAATAATATCGATAACAAATCTTATTTAAAAAAAAATGATATTTCATTTATTACCAAAAAGAAAAGTACAAAATATGTGATACATTGCCGGTGGCCCCACAACAGGCCAGCCTGTCCTGTGGGTGCCAGTTGCGATTACACATTTTGCTATAAATTATTGTTCGGTATACATTCCATCGTCGTTTTCAATTTAAAGTATACAGTGTTACTTGCTTATATTTGAGACAGCAATCTATTTCCTCTTCCTAAAAACTATTGCCGTCCCAAACGAGTTGGCAACAAAAAGAAAAGATAAAAATGATAAAAAATTAAAAACAATAATATTGGCAAAACAGCGTTGGTAAATATATGCATGAGGTTTTTTATAGATATTAATATTATAAAGATAAAAATAACTAAATGTGTGTGTCTATATTGGTATAGGGTACTTTATATGTTATGTAATAAATTATTCTCAAAGAATAATGCGCAATATTTAGGCCACGTGTACCAACAGACCTTCTGTATACTCGTATGTCAAAGAAAGCAACAATTGTGTAGTGTTAAGTTTAGCCTCCCCCACAGAACATAGCGTTATATCGCAGAGCTTTGTAATTCTGTTATATATATAGAAATCTTTGTCGCTAAGTCAAACGTCTAGCAAAACTTGTTTTGACAGTAGGCAACAGCAATTTGTAAACACGACGTTCAAGCAATTTACTGTGTTCCTCTGTGTTAACAACAGTACGATGAACTTTCAGTATTGTTCGGAGGAAATAAAGTTGTCGCACAGTTAAGACCTTACATTCTTAATATTTTCTCGTCTAGTGTGGAGTATTGTTGGGTATGACTTTTAAAATCATTAAGAGTGTGAAGAATATTTATCTATTTATTTATCGGATTGCAAAAAAAAACTTTGAAGTGCTAAACCGTTGGCTTGAAAATATTGGATTCGTGTCTCATTTTTCATTTAATTTAATGGTCTAATCAAACTACATATTAAAAAATGCACTAAATTATGTCTTAATTTAATTATCCAAAATAATAAAATAAATTAAGAATCATAACAAAACGTCATTTCATATAATCATCAATTGAATAGAAACATCCATTAATAAGAAACGCCCTAAGATTCGATTAAAATTTTGTTGCGTATACGGTGCTTTTAATTTCCAAAGAAAGTTTGTTAAACAATTTTCCTGCATTATAACATGAAGCATGTTTGACATTCAAAGTAGATCACGGAGGGCTTTTCTTTTCTTCTGGTACCTTTCCTCGTGACTTTCAGATGAGTAGATATTTTTTTAAAGATGTGTTAGCAGAACCATTATGTAGAGACTCGGCACTGATATTTTCAGATCTTTAACATATTGCTGACATGATTGATATTGCTCTATACGAACCATTGTTGTTAGGTCTCTTTTTTGGGCAAAAAAACCTTCTAAATGTTATAATTATATCTTTCTGCCCTAAACAGAATGCTATATCTCAATTTGGATTCAACTAAAGCGAAGTAAACAGTCCTGAGTTGTTTCAAGGTTACAACATCTCTTAGGCTTCTCACACAAAACAGGCCGAGTGTATACTAGCTTCTATATAAGAAAGCTCACTTTTACAGTTAAAGAAGCAGTCCACATGTATCCCTAGAAATTTTCCTTCATCGACTGTGTCCAATTGATTCCATTAAGATTGCAGTGTGTCAGAATTCTTATTAGTGAATTTAAATATTTCTTTTTTTTTATATCTTTTTTTTTTATGAACGTCTGCAACTCAGGAGTCACAAACTCGTTGCCGGCCTTTTAGGAAGGAGTACGCTCTTAATTAAGTCTAGAGTTAGATATATTAGCATTTATTTTTAGGCAATTAAATGTAAACCATTTGTTAAAGTTTTCTTAAGCTTCATCAACTTTTCGGGATAGGTTACTAATAGCATTAGCTGACACATTGGCATTCGTGTCATCAGCGAAAACAGTGAAATTTATATTATCACTCAACTTGTTAACTATACTACTTAATAGATCATTAATAAATATAATAAAAAATTCTCACCCACTGAATTGAAGATACCATTTTAAAACGTTTTCAAGGTTTTTTCCTGATGCTAAAGTGACCGGCTATCGACCTCATAGCAAGATGCCAATCTATGGCCTTGGAAAAGTATTTGCAAATATTCGATTGCTAAGAATAACATAGATATATATATATATAATACATATTGCATAAAAACTTTTTATTGTCTATGAATTTGTACGGTTGCCTATGTGCCATTACTTACTTACTGCCAATAATACTATTTGAATTAAGAATAAATATTTCCAGAATTTATATTTGCAAATTCAATAAAATAGGAACTAAATTTTTTGTTCCAAATAATTGACCTTTTATAGTCTTGATTTTAATCTGTATTATGAAATATACATATATTTATGTTCATTCATTTCGAAACGACTACTCTTACAGTAGAAGTGCAGACGTAGGAACTGTGTTTTGCGAATTTTTAGTACTACCCCAGAGATATAACCATAGAGTGAACAAGAGCCGCAATCTTGCAACGAGAGAGATGGATAATAGATAGTTCCCTCTATCTCTTTCCAGTCGAGGCCTGTGGTTGACTGGAAAAATGTCTAATTTCCCGCCTGTTTTACGATCAAAACCATGCTCACTTCACGATAGTCAATCGCAGCTAAGCTAAATACAGATAGAGGGAGCTATCGGACATCTATCTCCCTCGTTGCCTGTATCGCTTCCGCTTACAGGCAGCTGTATCCCGTGTTATCTCTATGCTTATATCTCTATGAGTACTACCGTAAAATATAATCTGTACTTGTAGTGTAACCATTAATAAATATTCACGAATGCGATTCTACATATTCGCATTCTTATTCGTGAATATTAGGCTCTTTATGTAGTAACAGCATTCGCATTTTTTGACAAAACAGAGATTGTTGCTTTTGTGTGTGTTGATCTATGACTTTAGAGTCTACATGGAAGACGATTTCAAACAATTTTGGAAATTTTATGAAATAAACAAAGTTTAAGTTTGAGTTTGCGTTTTCAAAATGAATAAATTTTAAAATAAGTACAAACATTTTTATATTTTGGGCATAACAATTTCCAATTTGACATTCTTATTAACGGTTTTTACGTTTGCTATCGGATTAATCTCGATAACTACGAGGTTAAAATTTTGAAGAAAATGTCAGTTACGTTTAGTGTCACGAATGATCAGTCAAATGTCACCTGTTACTCGTTTAGATTTTTTGCAAAACATATTCATTTTTCTAATTTCTCTAATTATTTAACCATGGCTTTTAATAAATTGTGTAGAAATTTTAAAGGCTCTATAAAATAAAATGAGAAAATTTTGTTTAAATGCGGCTTCAACAATATTACAATCTCTCTTCTTATCTTTCCAGATGTGGCAGTTCTTACTCTTACTGGGGTCAGCGTGCTTGGCCAGCGCCGCAGACCTTCCGCCTACATGCAGCAGACCCGTATACTGTGACAGCAAGCTTCTCCACCACGTCCAATTAGCGAAGATCTTTAATGACTCCAAGACCTTCGTCGACCTCGAAATGAACTATGATCAAAATAAAACTCTAGAAGACTTCGATCGATTACTTAATGAAACAAATCAAAAACCTTCAAGAGAACAGATTAAAAATTTCGTTGACAAATACTTTACCAGCGAAGGCCAGCTCGAGGATTGGGTGCCATCGGACTTTAGTACAAACCCTAAATTTATTTCAAATATCAAAGATAGGCAATTGAGGCAGTTTGGCCTTGACATAAACAACATTTGGCCTATTATCTCCAGGAAGGTCAAGGACGAAGTCTTCGAGAAACCCGAGCAATTCAGTTTGATTCCTATTAAAAATGGTTTTATTGTACCTGGTGGGCGATTTCAAGAAATATATTATTGGGACACTTACTGGATTGTAGAAGGATTGCTTGTAAGTGGAATGGTAAATACCGTCAAAGGAGTGATTGAAAATCTCATAGACCTTTTAAATCGGATCGGTCACATTCCAAATGGAAGCAGGTGGTATTACCAAGAACGTAGTCAGCCTCCCCTGTTATCTGCTATGATGGCCATTTATTATAAATATACCAATGATACTGAATTTATTAAAGATAATATTGAATCTTTAGAAAAAGAGATTTCATATTTCCTGGATAACAAGTTGATTTCCGTCACTAAAGATAATACAGACTATAACCTATTACGTTATAATGCTCCCAGTAAGGGACCACGGCCAGAATCTTTTCGTGAAGATTACGAAGCAGCTCAAAAACTTGATGAGAGTGAACGTACTGATTTTTTTATCGAATTAAAAAGCGCAGCAGAGAGCGGCTGGGACTTTTCCTCGAGGTGGTTTATCAGCGAGGACGGAAGTAATGAAGGCAGCTTGACTGATATTAAAATAAGGAACATAGTGCCTGTCGATTTAAATGCTATCTTCACTGGAGTTCTCCAAAACACCGCAAATTTCCATGGGTTGTTGGGTAACACGCGGAAGGCCGCCCGATACGCAGAACTTGCTGAGCAATGGCGGACGGCAATTCAAGCGGTGCTATGGAACGAAAAGGAAGGAATCTGGTTTGATTATGATATCAAGTCTAAATTACATCGCAAATACTTCTATCCGTCAAACTTTGCACCACTTTGGCAGGGAGCTGTTCGCCATGAACTTGTTATACTGAATGGGCCAAGGGTCGTTCGTTATCTACAAGATTCGGGTGCACTCAAATTCCCAGGAAGTATCCCTACGTCTCTAGATAATACCGGAGAACAGTGGGATTTTCCTAACGTATGGCCTCCTACGGTCAGCATTGTCGTAAATGCTTTAGAGGCTATAAACACCAAGAAGTCTCAGCAATTAGCAGTTCAAGTGGCGCAAAAGTTTGTCAGATCTTGCCAGAAAGGGTTTTCGCAATACAAGCAGATGTTCGAGAAGTATAATGCAGAGAGACCTGGAGAATATGGAGGTGGCGGGGAGTACACTGTTCAAATCGGCTTCGGTTGGTCCAATGGTGTTGTGTTGGAATTTTTGTCTAAGTATGGTAATGTTCTGACGGCTAATGATAAACCGTCCGCATGTTCGATAAAGCATTTCGATAAATAGTGTAGTTTCATGAAAAGCTTTGTATAGACATGGTTTTTTTTAAAGTTGTGAACATGAAATGAATTTAAGTGAACAATTATTCAGTCATGGAGCTTTACAAAGAGACAACATTCCCACAAATATATTAATTAAAAGTTTTAGAAGAGAAAAGTTTAGATAGAATCCAATTAAAATGCAAGCCTAAAATGTTAAGAATTTTTCAAAAATGAGTCGAAAATATGTTCAATGCTTATTTAATATAACATGAAAAGTCAAAGAAAAATTGATGATGATGTCTTTTTTTATGAATTCTTATAGATTTATCTAGCTCTACCGATACTTTAAATAATTTATTATGTATTGCTATAAGCATAGCTCACATTGTGTGTTGCAAAATGACGCCTACTACCAGATTCATAGCAATCACGCATTTCTTAAAAAAATCCTTACTTTTTACTCTGTCACCGTTCTTGTAATATATAACAAGATATTTCAATTAATATGAAACTGAATTGCTAAATTTCTAAATGCTAAGCTGAAAAAACAAACTCTTCAGCTTTTAAAATTATTTTTTATAGATTTATAGATAGATATCCATGTACTTTTGTGTCCGTGTCCGTCCCTGTTTGCATATAGTCGTAGTATAGTTTTTGTTGCCCGCTTTGCTATGGAGGTAACTGGATTTATTATATTTGCAACGCGTATTTCACTTCTAAATTATTTCGTTGCGGGTTCTAGGACAGTTTAACTTTTCCTGGGACTGCTCGAGTTTCATACCTCGGTGTGCTCGTGACTCGTGGGTCACTACTGTCGATCTTACTGTACAGGAGTAGTGGGCGTGTGGGAGGGATTATATTGTACATCTGTAAGTTAATAAAGTGGTACTTAATGAGTAATAATTTATGGTTAGTACAGATAGGCAAATTTGATATTTTATGTCTTATGTCCAGCAGTGGACTGTGATAGGCTGATGATGATGATTTTGTTACATGTAAAACGAACCACACGTAATGTAAGAGTAATAAGATATGGTTGATTGACACTCGTAACTGTTGTTCAAAAATGTATGTCTTCCATAATGTTGTTATTTATTTTTATATTATTTACATATTTAAATTTTCAAATATATTTTCTTGCTATAGGTAGATATATAGCTAATAAAACTATCTATTTATTTATTTAAGTAACATTACAAGATCACAGTCTCACAACCAAAACGCTTATATGCTATACACAACAATACATTAAATTTTTATATAAATTACAAGTAATTAAAAATTCATACAATCACACAGAAATAGCCACTAAAGTCAATGCAATAAAATGTCATAAAAATTAGCAAGATGTCAATAAATATCAATAGCTATACAGAGTACATTATAGGTAACAGTTATTTATGAGTATTTAAAAAGATCATTACATTTTGCATTAATTTGGGTAAGCTGTCAAAAATAAGTCTGCATCTACATTATTTTGCAAAAAACTATTAATTAGTTGGATAGCTTTTCCCGTGGGACTACTAACAGCTTGTGTAGCATCTATAGTATTATGGTACCAAAGAGAGGTTTATTTATCCTTGGTAAATCAGCCATAGTGGATACGCAGGTCGTTATGGTATGTTAGGCCAATACAAACCAGTGTTCTTCGATGTCATATATTATTTATGGCTCCGTTCAAGATCCGCCAAAAAGTAACAGACACATTTCATTGACCCCTCAGATATCTACTGATAAGGACACAGTGCACACAGGCCATCCACCATCATGTGTAAAATTTAATAGTATTATATAGAATTGTACCTTCTGATCACTTTCATTTGTACAAATTATGTTATTTCAATAGTATTATATATTCGTCAAGTTGTTCGTTCATCACATTTTAAATGTGAAGTTTCAGGGATAGGTACTACAATATTGTAGTTAATAATGTGCAATCAGATTGTGATTTCAGCATAATCTATTTTAATAAATTAAAATTATGTATATTTGATGACTTTCATTGTATCTACCACACGATAAACTCATCCATTTCGTACCATTTGCAAAACATCAGTGAATATTTAATGTTTATTATGTAAAAGAACTATCGATTTTTTAAAAATGAGTGTCATAAAATCAAAAACAGCTACATAAAACTATAGTGGTTTAGCATATATTATGACCTACCATTTTACAAAAATCTTTACATTGATATTTTAAATTATACTGGACGATCAAATACAAAATGACATTCAAAACAGTCGTCTTCCGATCGCACGGCAACCACTAATTTCAATAATGTTTACTTAATTTTATTGTTCATTTGGATTGTTCTATATACTTTACCTGTTTTCTTTAGATAAAGTAAATGTTGGATCATCATGGCTGTACGTAGTAAGACAATAAAATATTTTATGTGGTTAATTGAGCGAAAAGTGCGTGGCGAATAATTTGACAAAGTTTAAAGCTGGCGGCCATTTAATAGGTGCCTACTTAGGAGTAGGCAGGTAAACAAGTTCCTGTTAATTTTTGATCATTGTTCTGTTTTTAAAAAATACTGGGTCGTGGACCCCGTGGCGGAACTTGTATGGTATTCATACATATTTATACGGTGCCTTTTCTGGGCGCAGTTTCCATCGAGCTGCACTGATTGTGTTCACTGGAGGTTAAACAGGGTTTTGTTCCCTTTTCACATTGGTCATAGATCAAGATAAATATCATTAAAATCAATCAAATTCTTTTTATCAAAGATTACGACCTTTTTTAGATTTTAGACCTTTCGCGAGTCTGGCGCTAGCGTAAATTAGCCACAGACGTGATTATAAGATTTATAAATCATATGATTTACCAAAAGTGATTGTGATTTTATTCCGTTCTTAACTGCTGGACACAGGCCTCTCCTTAGAAGGGAAGTTTTGGCCTACTATACCATGCTGGTCAGACGGATTGGTACAGGGTATGTGTCAGTTTTCCTTCTCTTTGCAGTGCTGTTGTTCTCTTAGTCGGCTCTTACGACACCCACGGGATAAATAGGGATGGTGACACTCCGTATTCCTTATCCGTCACCACACGGACAATTTCTTTACCCAATAATTAATAATAATGAGTTAGGCTATTTGTGTAATATCATAACACCGTAAAAGAAATCTATTTCAGCAGCGCATAAAATACGAAAAAAATATACCCACATTGATTTTTAGGATTCCGTACCTTAAAAGAAAAAAACGGAACCCTTATAGGAACACTTTGTTGTCCGTCTGTCTGTCCGTCTATCTGTCAAGGCCCCTTATCTCAGGAAAGGGTGGAGGTATAGAGTTGAAATTAAAACCACATACTCAGGTTTACAGTTTCATGAAAATCTTTGTATAGACATGGAATTTTTTAGAGTTGTGAACATTAAATGAATTTAAGTGAACAATTATTCAGTTATGGAGCTTTACAAAGAGACAACATTCCCACAAATATATCAATAAAAAGTTTTAGAGGAGAAAAGTTTAGATAGAATCCAATTAAAATGCAAGCCTAAAATGTTAAGAATTTTTCAAAATGGAGGCGAAAATATACCCAAGGATTATTTAATATAACATGAAAATTCGATGATAAATTGATGATTATGTCTTTTTTAATTTAGTTGCCCAATATTTGTTTATATCATTGTAAAGCCAAAATTATGAGTTCTTATAGATTTATCTAGTTCTACCGATACTTTAAATAATTTATTATGTATTACTATAAGCTTAGCTTGTGAGCTATGCTTATAGTAATACATAGTGTGCTATGTGTTGCAAAATGACGCCTACTACAAGATTCATAGTAATCACGCATTTCTTAAAAAAAAACCTTCCTTTTTACTCTGTCACCGTCCTTGTAACATATAACACAATACCTTTTCTTTATCGAGACCCTGAACAATATGTATTAAAGTATCTGATTGACCAAACACCAGATAGCTGGATATGAGAACATTGTCAAATTCCTCGTCAGAAATAATGGTGCGTTTTTAAACAACAACATTGCAAGATATTTCAATAAATATGAAACTGAATTGCTAAATTTCTAAATGCTAAGCTGAAAGAAACAAACTCTTCAGCTTTTAAAATTATTATTTATAGATAGGGATCAAATATAGCTCACTTAGGACCCATGATACTTTTGTGTCCGGGATGCTTCCCTGTTTGCATATAGTCGTAGTATAGTTTTTGTTTCACGCTTTGCTATGGAGTTAACTGAATTTAATTAATTTAATTTAATTTATAGTTAGTACAGATAGGCAAATTTGATATTTTATGTCTTATGTCCAGCAGTGGACTGTGATAGGCTGATGATGATGATTTTGTTACATGTAAAACGAACCACACGTAACGTAAGAGTAATAAGATATGGTTGATTGACACTCGTAACTGTTATTAAAATAAGTTTGATCACTTTATTTGTACAAATTATATTATTTTAATAGTATTATATATTCGTCAAGTTGTTCGTTCATCACATTTTAAATGTGAAGTTCAGGGATAGGTACTACAATATTGTAGTTAATAATGTGCAATCGGATGTGATTCCAGCGTAATCTATTTTAATAAATTACAATTGTGTATATTTGATGACTTTCATTGTATCTACCACACGATAAACTCATCCATTTCGTACCATTTGCAAAACGTCAGTAAATATTTAATGTTTATTATGTAAAAGAAGCATCGTTATTTTTAAAATAAGTGTTATAAAATTAAGAACAGCTACATAAAACTATAGCGATTCAACATATATTATGACCTAGGTACCATTTTACAAAAATCTTTAGGTACATTGACATTTTAAATTATACTGGACGATCAAATACAAAATGACCTTCAAAACAGTCGACCTTCAGAACCGTCTTTCGATCGCACGGCAACCACTAATTTCAATAATGTTTACTTAATTTTATTATTCATTTGGATTATTCTATATACTTTACCTGTTTTCTTTCGAAAAAGTAAATGTTGGAACATCATGGCTGTACGTAGTAAGACAATAAAATGTTTTATGTGGTTAATTGAGCGAGAAGTGCGTGGCGAATAATTCGAGAATGTTTCAAGCTGGCGGCCATTTTACCAAAGTAGGCAGGTAAACAAGTTCCTGTTCATTTTTTTATCATTGTTCTGTTTTTAAAATATACTGGGTAGTTGACCCCGTGGCGGCACTTGTCTGGTATTCATACATATTTATTAGGTGACTTTATTGAGCGCAGTTTCCATTGAGCTGCACTGATTGTATTCCTGGAGGTTAAACAGGGTTTTCTTCCCTTTTCACAGCACATCACATCAACGGCCTTTAATATTGCATGCTGGTAAACATGGAAATTATTACTACTTTTAGTCGGCGCTAGCGTAAATTAGCCACATGTGATTATAATGTGATTATAAGATTTATAAATCATATGATTTACCAAAAGTGATTGTGATTTAATGCCTCCCTTACTGCTGGACATAGGCCTCTCCTTAGAAGGGAGGTTTTGGCCTACTATACCATGCTGGTCAGAGGAATTGGTACAGGGTTTGTGTCAGTTTTCCTTCTCTTTGCACTGCTGTTGTTCTCTTAGTCGGCTCTTACGAAAACAACGGAATAAATAGGTATGGTGACACTCCGTATAAATAAATAGGTGCGGTGGCACTCCGTCACCACACGGACAATTTCTTTACCTAATAATTAATAATAATGAGTATGTTTAGGCTATTTGTGTTATATCATAACACCGTAATAGAAATCTATTTCAGCAGCGCAGAAAATACGAAAAAAATAAACCCACATTGTTTTTTAGGATTCCGCACCTTAAAAGAAAAAGACGGAACCCTTATAGGATCACTTTGTTGTCCGTCTGTCTGTCCGTCAATCTGTCAAGACCTTTTATCTCGGGAACGGGTGGAGGAATTGAGTTAAAATTAAAACCACATACTCAGGTTTACAGTCCCTTGAAGCTGTAAAAAAACAAACTTAATAGTTAACATAATAACAAGACACGGCCGCTGATGCCGCAATAAACGTAAAACAAGCAAAAAAACTTTTAAGGGAATCCATATTTGTATGATACTTCCCGTTGACCAAGAGCTATGAAATTTGGCAAGTAACATCGCCTTTCTACAACTACAGGGTAAAACCTGAAAATCGTATATTTAAATTACAACATAATTATATAGTCTCTATTTAAAGTACGTAATAAATAATTAGGTATAGATTTTGGGAACTTAATTTCGGGAAAAGCTCGGAAATAACTGCAGACTCGATTCCTGAACTATTGATAATATGTACCTACAAATTTGTACGGAACCGTCGATGGACAAGTCCGACTCGCACTTGTCCGATTTTTATATATTTAAGGCAAACGAGCAGCATTGACATCTGCAACTTAAAAGTCACAAATGCGTTGCCATTAAACAATAAAAAGTGCAAGGTTTTTCTATTTGGGTACTTGCTTTTAAAATAAAAACGTACACAGAACTTCCTTGCAAAATGTTACTTGAAGCAAAATCTTGAAACTGAAATACAGAATTTATAAATACTTAACAAAATGTAGTGTACACGGAAGATTGGTAGAGAATGCCTATGGCATTAAGACCGCCATTGTACATTCTGTCTAACTAAATAAAACGTTATATCACTCGCTCACTAAAATTAAATTCACTTCATCAATCATCAACAGCCCTTAACAGTCCACTGCTGGACATAGGCCTCTCCTTACAATGGAGGTTTTTAAATTCACTTACCTATTGCTATACTATATTTACATATATACGAGTATATACAGAGTGTAAGGGACGTCGTAACGAATACTGAAATAGTGTATTCAGATCATCATTTGAATTTTCTGCCGGCAAATAAAACGTCTTATGCAATCAGCTGTCAAAGAAATGGCTCAGATTTTACGGCCAGTCTCTGAGAGTAAATTAGAGCCCTCTTTCCGGTAACACTATTATCAAATATAAATGTAGCAGTTATGACGTTCTATTGTGTTAGTCGAAAACGTTGGACGCACTAATGACCTATTCTCACCACCCTTAGCAATTGTTTAACGTGATGCATTTATCGAACGTTGCAGCTCCGCACCAACATTCACAGCCATTCACTCCGCGATAGTTACCGCTGCCGTCCGCCTCTCGGTCCAATACGATTCCCGCAGTTCTATTCTATTACATTTGCTACAATAATAATAGTGAATAAATCATGGTAAAGATTTTTTTCCCGCGTTATCTGTCACTGTACCCGGTATTCGCGTTACTTGGGACATATACAGAGGCCCTGGACATCGTTCAAAAATGCAATTCCTCTATTTATTGTCGCGGTGAACTTTTACATACAATTCAGCTCTCTAGAATCTTTAGGGATTCCAAAACATTCGTTGATTTACATCTATTAAGCTCAGAATCAAAAGTTTTGGAAAGTTTTCATAATCTTATGGTTGACACAGACAAAAACCCAACTCGGAAGCAAGTGATGGCGTTTTTAGATGAATATTTTGAAAATAAAATTGAACTTCATACTTGGTATCCACCAGATTTTAATCCAAATCCACCATTTGTAAATAATATTAAGGATCCTCGGCTTAAACAGTTTGCAAAGGACTTAATCGGCATTTGGCCAAAACTTGGACGAAAAGTGTCACCAGATGTAGAAAAGAATCCTAACCAATACAGTTTTATATATGTGCCAAAAGGATTCATTGTTCCTGGAGGAAGATTTAAAGAGTTATATTACTGGGATTCGTACTGGATTATCCGTGGTCTTTTGATCTGCAATATGAAGAAAACTGCTAGGGGCATGATTGAAAATTTTTTTCACCTTGTTAACGAGTTAGGATATATACCTAACGGTAGTCGAAAATATTATCTGGGGAGAAGTCAACCGCCGTTTCTGGCTTGGATGGTTGCCGACTATTTTACTGAAATAGAGGACCAGACATGGCTTAAACATAATATTGCAACGCTTGAAAAAGAATTGCAATATTGGTTGGAGAGAAAGACAATAACAGTTGAAATTAATCGTTATAAATACCGACTTTTACGATATGCATCGGACAAAAGTGTCACTGGTCCCCGACCTGAATCTTATTACGAAGACTATACGTACGGTAAAACAGTTCCTCTCCCACAGCGCCAAAAGTTCTATACGGAGATAAAAACTGCAGCGGAAAGTGGCTGGGACTTCTCATCCAGATGGTTCGTGAGTTCTGGCAAGAACCCGAACTTCAATATGACTGATATTAAAACTTCACAAATCCTCCCCGTTGATTTAAATTCAGTTTTTGCTGGAGCATTACAAAAAATGGGCGATCTGAAGAACAAAGTCGACGGTTACAAGAGTGCCAATGTGTGGTGGAAATTAGCCGAACAATGGAGACACGCAATTGAAAATGTTATGTGGGATACCGAGGACGGAGTTTGGTATGACTACGATATTATAACAAAGTTACGGCGGAAGCATTTCTACTTGAGTTGTGCAGCCCCACTCTGGGCAAGCGCTATTGAGCCATGGCTGGCAACTGATCGTGCCAGAGCTTTTATTAAATACCTACGCTCTACGGGAGCGCTCCAATTCCCTGGTGGTGTTCCCACATCTTTGCGGCACACAGGCGAGCAGTGGGATTATCCAAACGCGTGGCCACCTCTTCAAGCTATGCTTATCGGTGGATTGGAAAAAAGCGAGTACATAGAAGCGAAACGATTAGCAAAACAACTAGTGAAAATTTGGATTACGGCCAACTACATTGGTTATAAGAAACACCAGAAGATGTTTAAGAAGTATACCTGTTCTAATCCTGGTGAGTACGGAGGTGGAGGAGAGTATGAGGTCCAAACTGGTTTTGGCTGGACGAACGGATATGTTCTTGAATTGCTACGGAGGTACGGGGATGAACTTGAGTTTGAATAATTATTTCTTTAATACCATTTTTCAATGTAAATAAGTTATATTTATAGAAAGTATTTATTTTAGGTGTTCGCATAAAAAACACATTTGTAACTTTAGTTTATGACAAGATATCAGAAACCAACTCTTATAATTGTTTTATAAAACTTTGAAGTCTCTTGAAATCTATATTAGGACTACTAAAAAATGAGCCAAACGTTAAATTAATTTATAAGTTATTCTTACAATGTTATTCATGTTATGTAGCAACAGACAATTTTCACAAAGTGTGACGTAATAGTACAAACTAATAAATAGTGTAAAAGTTTGTAAGATTCTATAAAAATGTAAAACGAGACCAATATAAGTTATATATACTTGACGTAAAAATGAGAAGACGGATCAAAAATAATTGAACGACACGGCTTGCGCGATGTGCGAGCGCCATCAAATTCATGTTTTAAAAGAAGTGCAAACGTCATAATTGATTGTCTATGTACCATATACCAAGTTGTATACTCTATGGATTATATTTATAGCTACTACATCCTATAATCGAAAATCAGAAACGATTTATTTGGTACTTATTTTGTGACCATTAGTATATTTAAGTCAGAGGCCATTTTGTATACATAAATAGGTAGGTGTGTATGTGTGTGTGTGTATGTCTATGTAACCCGTACAAGGTCGTAACTCGTACAGTTTACTCCCTGGATGACGTACTACCAATTACATCAAAAATCTTGATTTTAAACACAAGAATCTGGTATTAAATCGATAAATTTCTTGACAATTGGACGATAGAGCTAATAATACGTAGAAGAATAAATTATAGTTTAAAAAAGAACTAAAAACACACTTGTAGATAGCGGAACTAAAAGGTAGGAAATAATTTTCTATAAGTTCAAAATTTATCGTTTTTTCGTTTTTAAGTTTTTTGTCTTAAAAAAGGGTGCTACCCCACGCTTTTTTACGACAAATTATTTTTCTTTTTAAATATTAGATAAAATTATTTCTTTTTCAATTATTCAATTTATGTAATTTATTCTTTTTCAATTTCAATTATTATGATTTCAATTATTGTAAAAGCTAGTTCAGCTTATTATATAATAATTAAAATCTGACGTGTTTTTTTTTTAACTACATTTATTTTTACTTTTTTAGTCATTAATAATGATTATTATCTTATTAAGACTGATTAATTAACGAGTAAGTTTATCACATATGCTTTAGTACGTGGCAAAAATGTCTATATTTTTCCTAAAATATTCTTTTAAAAAACAAATGGTCGTCAAGTCAACAAGTGGTCGTCGAAGTCTGTTGTTTATTTTTTGGAAAAATAATGTATATCCTTTTAAATAGGTGTAAAATGGTTAATAGTATGTAGATATTGATTTAAACTTAATGTTTAGTAATTTATTTACCTACATATTGTATTTTTGAAAAAAAAAATGCGTTTGTGATGGTGAATACTGTCGAAAGATGAAAGGAATGTTATAACATTTATCTTCTCAACTTTTTATGTTTTAAGTTTTATTTAAAGTGTTTTGATTTCGTTGCTATTTTAATTTTAAAATATATATTATACGTTATCAATTTTGTGTTTTTTTTTTGTTATGTTGTCGCCTGTTAAATCACAACTCCAAAAAAACTAGCAGCACTAGTTGAAAAAAAAGTGGAAACATTAGTTTATTCTCTGTCGTTATTCTGATCTTTGTCTTGAAGCGTGATTTGTTAGTTACCAGTTTATGAAATGTTTTATCGATTTGTTTTGTTTGGAGAACAGCTCTGCAAAGAGAAGGAAAACTTGACACGAACCCTGTACCAACCCGTCTGGCCAGCGTGGTATAGTAGGCCAACATCTCCTTTCTAAGGAGAGGTATATGTCCAGCAGTGGACTATTATAGGCTGTTGATGTGATAAACTTTGCCGTATAATAATAAATAGTAAACAGATGAAATCCCAAAATTGTCATGACTAGAATGTCTAGAAATTCATAGGTTAAATCAAAATGGTGGAAATAACAGAGAAAATCAATAAAAAGAAGGCATTAAGATGAAATACGAGTGTTAGCTTATAGCGCCTTATAGAGAAGAACCAAAAAGGTTTACTATCCAACCATGGTCATTTTCGGCTTTTTTTTTTGTTTCTTCCTTTGCAGGAATTGTTTCTTTCGAGAAAAACTTTTCAAATGTCTGCGAGCTGTGCTAGCGGCAGGGGAACCTCTCAACAAGCACGGTTACCTATAAAATTATACAACAATTACATATATGATCTTCTACTCTTTACACATCAAGTGAAAACTCCTGTGTTTTCGTAACTTCAAAGATGGTTGTGTCGAAGGAAGGGCGAAATTATATAACGCTAAAAGGAGGGTTATGTTTTTCAATAGTGTGTATGTATATTTTTGGCATGCTTTATAGCCTAAATGCCTTGATTGATTTTGGCATTTGAGATGTCGTTAGATTCGTCTTAATAGCGAGAAAGACACTAAGTACATTTATAAAAATTTAAAAAATCTAAAATATCGGTTTAAGTATACATTTTCACGCATTTGCAATTTCTGTTTTTTATTTTCATTAATTAGCTTGTTTTGAGACATCATCGCGTAAACAATTAGAAATAAATATTCTTAATAAAGACCTAAACAGCATTTTGTTGTTGTTTGATTGGTTGTGATAAAATATGTCAACAAATAATATTTGTATAACAGAACTCATTTTTTTTATTATTCAATGGAAAGAAAATATAAACTAACAATTAAAAAAATATTAGTATCTATGGCCAGTTGATATGCCTGTTGTTACAGCGTCTCCATTCGAAGGTTGGAGATATGGGTACGCGACGCTGACCTCTTCGAGATCATGCAGTCGTAAGGTCACAGCTAATAAGAACACCTCGTTACTACGTGTACTCTCGTTTTCGATATGTGGTCCATGATTGAACGCTGCGTTTTTAACCAGAAAACGTGGGGTTCGATTGGGAAAGATGTGACGCCGATGCATCATCCGGGTGAACCACTCGCGGACAGCGTGTAACACTTCGGGACCTGCGCGTAGGCAACTACAAGCAAGCGTGCGAGCAATGGGTGTTCACCGAGTGGTCTATTCGTCAGTCCGCGAGTGATGAGTTGAGTTGATGTAGTGAGAATATACCCAGAGTTCTCCATACAAAGAATACTAACCGTTTGTGGCGAAGCGGTGCTGGTCGGGTGTCAGGAGGCTTTATTAGGCTATGATCTTTAGTCACTCTTACTAATCGAAGAACAGTGCGGCATATGCTGGCTCCTCCATTTTTACCAGTAGACTGGTCATCCGATGGTGAACTGACTACCGACTACCGTTGCCCATCAACACCTGCAGCTCAAGAGTCAACCAGCCCAGAAACAGTGGTAGGGGAGGTTTTGGCTCCCTTAACTTCACTCACTCGGTGAAAAGAAACCAAAGAATTGATTAACACGGGTATTCTGTGAAGCCGTGGTATCCGGCTCTGTTCGAGCCGGCCCATTTGTGCCGAAGCATGGTGTGGAGGAACGGGTGTCATGTCCCTCCAACACAAAGAGAGGATCCTCCGACCAGGCGAGGTGATCTTGCCTGGCGGACCGCGGCCCCAACGGTTGATGTTGGGAAGTTGTATATATGCTAATCGGCGAGGGAATTCTTTATATCGCGATACAGGATTAGCAATTCTTATTTTAGTAGTTACTCCGTATTTCGGTGTGTCTTCATTAGATGGCGCTGTAGTATGTTTCTGTTTCTTTGTATGTGGGAGTCGCCACACATGGCTCATCCATTATGACATGGTTTGATCACCTTATAGTGCTGTTTAGTTAGGTATTGGTGGTAGACTCCGGTTTCCGTATTTGGACTCAAGAACACAGTTGGTGAAAGTTGGCTAGGTTACTTCCAAAAACACAGAAGCCTCCTGAGATGTTCACAGGCTTCAGATGCTGTATGTTGTGTGAATTATTTCTTTAAAGTGCTTTCCCCTGATTAGGTTACATGGCGAAACTCGATTATCTTTAACCTCTTTCGTTATCATTCTTTTGTTGTTTCTTCTACTTAGACATAGCTTGGAAGAGCTTTAAATTATATCAATTTTGGTCTTCAATTTTAGGCAACATCTGTAGGTAAACATGGTTTATATAAGAAAGTATTGCCTTCTAATACTGACTAATACGAACTTAAATAATGAGTACAAACTGCGTTCAAATTATACCACTAGTTATTATAAATCAATGAGCTCAGCGTTCACACCTAACACTATCTGAGGAAAGTTCCCATTGTGGAGAGGAAGGCACATCTATTCATTGAAAAAACAGTGTACTATTGCTTTCATTCACTATTCAAATAGATCAATTGTTCGATATTTTCAATCGTCTTGCATTTAACGAGCGACGAGCAAATTATCCGACAGTCGTGGCTAACCCTCCACCAGTGCACAATAATATAATTATCGCATAGTGTCTCACCTCTACCCAGTTCATGTGCGACTGTGAATATACCATGTTGAAGATTTCTTTACTCTGGTACGTGGTGATATGCCTTTGTTTTAGTCAACTTGGTACATGTACCACAGTGCTGGCACCAAGAAACCTTACCGTATGCAACTCATTGATTTATTGTACTGGTGAAATTCTTCACGTATTCCAGATGGCAAAAGTTCTGCCTAACTCTAAGGCTTTCGTTGATTTAAAACTCTTAATGTCTGAAGAAGCAATTCTAAAAAGTTTTGACACGTTTATGGCAGAAACAGATAATGCCCCTAATAGTGTTCAATTAACGAATTTTCTGGAACAACATTTTGAAGATAAAGATGAACTTCGATACTGGCGGCCCCCAGATTTCGATCCAAACCCGCCTGTTCTTGAAGGTATTAAGAATCGTAACCTTTTGGAATTTGCAAAAGATATAATTAACATCTGGCCAAAGGTTGGTCGGAATGTGGCAATGGATGTAGCTCGGAGACCTGAACACTATAGTTTTATATACGTGCCAAAAGGATTTGTTGTTCCAGGAGGAAAAACTGAGGAGTTATATTACTGGGATTCATACTGGATTATTCGTGGTCTTCTAATCAGTAATATGGCGATGACGGCAAGAGGGATGATCGAAAATTTTTTGTACCTTGTAACACAATTTGGATATATTCCGCAAGGTACTCGAATCTATTACCTTGGACGAACTCATCCACCGTTTCTGACTTGGATGGTGTCTGATTATATTGCTGTCACGGGCGATAAGTTATGGTTGAAACAAAATATCGCAACTGTTGAAGCAGAACTTCAATTCTGGCTGGATAATAAGGCGTTTCCAATTGAACTTAGGGGATATAATTACACGTTACTGAGATATGTATCGGATAAAAATAGCCAAGGCCCTCGCCCAGAATTTTATTATGATGATTACGAGAACGCTCAAAAACTTCCCGACAGATTACGTAAGACGTTTTATGATCAGATGAAGAGTACATCGGAAAGTGGGTGGGACTTTTCGTCTAGATGGCTAATGAATGCTGGTACGAAATCTGAATTCAACGTTACTGATGTAAACACTTACCAAATCCTCCCAGTCGACTTAAATTCAATATTTGCAGCGGCTCTACAAAAGATGGGTAATCTTCGAAATAAACTGGGATTTGCTAAACAAGCCCAAAAGTGGTGGAGTTTAGCTGAGAAATGGAGAGATGCGATTGAAAATGTGTTGTGGGACCATGAAGATGGAATCTGGTACGATTTCGATACTCGAACAATGGCGCGAAGAAAACATTTCTACCTAAGTTGCGCAGCACCTCTTTGGGCAAGCGCCGTCGAACCTTGGCAAGCGCCGGAACGTGCCAGATATTTCGTAAGATATCTACACGCTAGCGGTGTATTGAAGTTCCCTGGAGGTGTTCCCACATCATTGTGGCATACTGAAGAGTTGTGGGACTATCCCAACGTCTGGCCACCACTGCAGGCCATATTGATCGGTGCATTGGAGAATAGCGACTGTAGCGAAGCTAAACGCTTAGCAAAACGTCAAATAGAGAATTGGGTTCGTGCGAACTACTTAGGGTACAAGAAATGGGATAAAATGTTTGACAGGTATCATTGCACTAATGTGGGTGAACACGGCGGAAGTGGCGAGTACATCGTCCAGTATGGTTATGGGTGGACGAACGGGTTTATGCTGGAACTACTTCAGAGATACGGAATGGAGTTGAATTTTTCTTAAATAGAATACTTTATGAGTTTTTATATATATCGTGCCTAGATAATGTTATTCTAAAAGGAAGGCAGTTATTGGTGGATTTTTTCAACGGTATAGAGTTCAAACGAGAGTGACCCCCCCTCCCCCTCCCGAGAACTAGAGGGGGTGATCAGGTCAAGCTCACCAATATTTGTGTGAAATTATATACAACCTAGGTAGCAATAATTATATTTCAAACCAGCTGACCCGCGCAACTACGTCTGCGCCTCTTCAAAGGAATGATTTTTCCTTGTTTTTGCAACATTTTTCATTGAAACACTAACAGACTACAACACAATGCAACTCATAGTCTCTGAATAACAATAGTATTGGGACTACAAACATGTAATTGTTTTAATGGGCTGTTTACACGCACGGCGAGCCTCGACAAGTGTCCACAAACACAAGCGTGTAAACGGGGTGTTTGGCTCAGCTCGCGTATGCTCATCTCGATCAGAGGGCCAAGTGCGAGTTTATTTTACATCAACTCGCTCGTCACGGTGACCGCGTTCGGCGTTGCGATTGGCCCGCACTGAAATCACCACCAATCGCAACGCCAAACGCGTTCGCCGTCGAGAGCGAGTCTACAGAGAAATAAACTTACACTAGGCCCACAGTACTAGTGTCGTGTGCTTGTTTCCTACTGCTCAATTTTATATTTTAAATATTGTATTCGAGCAGTCGGGAATCAGTCTCAAGCTCTACTGATTGAGCAGTTTAGTTTCGGATTACTTTTTTTTAAATTTAGTGCCGCCGTTAATATTTTGAATAAAAATATGTCCACGTCTGCTATGTTCGCCTGTGCGGAACACAATAGCGCACTCGCAAGCATTTGGCATCCAAGCATTTGTAAAGACTCGGAGGTTGTGAAAGTTTGCCAAGCCTCGGCACGCATGTAAACTAGGCATGAAGTAGATCCAACTTTTCTTTCTAGTAGAAGTAAATATATGTATATTCCTCGGCAAACTAAAGATTCTCTGTTATACGAGTATATCATTGTTTGACGAAAGTAACTGATTCATAAAAGAGTCTGCTAAATTCATGACATAAACTGTTTATATAGTAAATATTTGTATATATGACTAGCTATACCACACCCTGCCACGCATCGCTGTAGTATATTGTGGTTGTATTGATAGGCAATGAAAAATAAAACTGAAGTAAAAAAAATTATAAAAGCCATCTAAAAAGAAGAAAGCAAACATTTAAGCTCAATCGGTGCAGTACAGTGGTACATCGGTGCGGTGCAGTAGTTTTTGAGTTTTTGAAGCGTACACAAACCAACTTAACATTGTATTTTTATAAAATGTATTATATTATTCTTAAACTGTGTACCTTTCAAAATAAGAAAGATAGTTGACTAGAAATTACGTGGACGTAATCGCAAGTTAGAAAAATGAATTTACTAGCGAAATTTAATTTTAAAATGTTTAATAAAAATTTACCTAATAATTATTGTTTCATTTATACATATAAATAGAAATCCTTAAAACTAACCTGTTCATCGTGGCGAAGGCTTTTAAATATTGTATAATAATTTTGGTAAGGACACGGCATATAAATTTAATTTTTAACTGACTTCGAAAAGGAGGAGGTTATCAATTCGGATGTTTATATTTTTTTTGTATGTTCGGGTATAACTCCATCATATATTGACGGATTTTCAAAATTCCTTTTTTGTTGTAAAGGGTTTTATTCGGCAATAGTCCCATTTAAATTTCATATAGATCTGATGATTAGTTTTTTTTTGTTTATGGCAAACTGTGCCGATGTGATGATGGGATGATTAGTTTCAGAGACAGACAACAGAACTGACAGTTTGTTACGAATAGTGTGGTTGAAGTCGCTTCAACTTTAAAAAAAAAGGATTTACTATCTTGCATAGCAACCACAGATCTCAGGACATCATTTCATTTGTTATTGTTTAAACTATAGCTGATATCATGGTAGTTTAATCACAGTAAACTTACGTTTGTTAAGGATACGGCATTTAAATACTTTTTCTTTGGCTACAGGTTGAACTGATATCTGAAACCTCCATTTATTGGTGCGCCAATCACCAATCACCAAGTAGATATTTCTAACATATAAGTTGCAATGGTTTTTGTTTGGCAGAGAAATTCTTTCTCAAGTAATAAGTGTTATTTAGAATTTTTCATTCGAAGATTCAAAAATCCTCTATCAAGATAATTTCTTGGATAAAAGTACATCTAATAAATAGTGATCTCATTCTTAAATCTCAGGACGTTGACTGTTCGAGAAAAGTCTAAATTTACATTTGTTGGAACGAGTCTTCATGCCTCAGAAGGTGCTTTTATTATTGGAAAATGTTTAAAACATCATTCTCAACTAACACAAATAGTTCATAAATTCCGGCGTGTTATAAGTTTTTTTTTTATGTTAGAGGGGGCAGACGAGCAGACGGGTCACCTGATGGAAAGTGACCATCGCCGCCCATGAACGTCTGCAACTCAGGAGTCACAAACGCGTTGCCGGCCTTTTAGGAAGGAGTAGGCTCTTTTCTTGAAGGTGTTTCAAAATATGTATCTGTGTTCCTCAAATATGTGCCTGTCTCATCACAGCTCCGAAACCGTGACTTGAGACTGTCACTGACTGACTTGACACTGAGCCAATTAAAGCTCTCTAAAATCTTTAGTTGAATCAGCGTCATATGATTTATTGATTAGAAATTAAATATAATCCTGTCACTTCAATAATGTTAAAATAACTTGGTAAAATTGTCTTGATGCTGCAGCGTTATCTGGAATCTTCTATTTACGAACAGCAGGGGTTTTGTCATTAACTTTCTTTTTATTTTAAAATATTTTTGGATTTGATTTTTGATTCGGTGATTGATTAGACAGACTGAATGATTAGAAGTATTAGACAGACAGAATTAGCTTTTTGGTCCAGAAAATTCATATTGGAGCGGATTTTTTCTTTTTTTAAAGATTCAACTATCAGAGTTATTTGCAATAATAAATGTCAAAAATGTTAAAAACAAGTTTTTTGCATTTTGTACGAAAACTAAAACTTCTACGAAAATAAATTGAATGTAACAAATATGCGCAACAAAAGAAACAATAGAATGAACCCAAATATGCGCAACAAAAAAAACAATAGAATGAAATGAATGAGCAAAATCCGACCATCAGATCGCCCGAAATTTGCAGAAAACCCCTTTTTTTGGTAAAACTTGGAAAACTGATAACTCGCGTTTGGGAAGTGGTAGAAAGTTGAAATTCGGATATGTTGTCAGTGTACTTTTGCACGACTTTTACAAAAGGTGACGTTTTTTAAAGTGGTTGGGACGGGGTCTTCATTTTCTTAAAACGTTTTAATTTCGGCACCTATTGGAGAAGTTTAACTACAAACATCCAAATTTCCAGGTTATTTATACTACTGGGTTTGTCGGCTCTTCATTCTTTGTCATCAGTTCATCAGTCTGCCCTCTTGTGGAATGAGCTTCCTGTTCAGTCATCACTCTTTTAAGACAAAAGTAAAGGAGCTTTTGTTGGGCGAATTCTACAGGGCGGAGTCAACAGGCTCCTAGTTCATCATCTACAATTGTTATATTTTATTATAATATATGTATGTCTGTGTGTATGTATATATGTGTGTGTATATATATATATTTCTGAAAATTACCTGTCATCTTAATTTATTATTTACAAAATCCATGTGTGTCAATATCCATGTGTTTTATTCCTCTGTATCTAATGGAAATATAGATATTATGTATTTATGTATTTGTTTATATTATGAAATGTATAGGTATATGTTTTACTCATTATTTATATGTATGTATTAACGTGTATTATATAAGTAAGTATTGCTGCATTACTATCAATACTACATTGTTATTTCCTTTTTATCAATATCAAATGCTGTTTTGCTGTCTAAATAATTTATGATTCTATTACATTTCTTCTCACACCGAAACTACCCATGAATTTATCTATCTGTAGATATAGTCTATTTGTACATCCAAAGGTTGCCTGTAACAAATTGCTTTTTAGACATAAAGCCGATAAGTTTCACCGTGATATAGGACTTTTTAAGTCGTCTGTCAATTCACGAATATCATAAATGTTTCAAAAGCACTACTAGTTAATATAGACAGGTAGAATTAGCGAAAAATGCCTGAAAAATCAGGAAAGTTAGAGCGATAAAATATTTTATTGAAGATTCAACTATCAGGAATTGAAAATTATTGTCAGCTAAGGTGGCATAATAAATTTCAAAAATGGTGAAAACAAGTTTTTCGCATCTGGAGTGTAAACTAAAGCTCCTAAGATAATAAATTCAATAAAACATATGTGCGCAATAAATAAAAAATAGAATGAACCCCTCGAGAGCATCAGAACGCCCGAAATTTGCAGAAAACCACGTTTTTTGCAAAACTTGGAAAATTTATAACTTGCGTTCGGGAGAGGAGAGAGGGAAGTAAGAATTGAAATTCGGATATGTTGTAAACTTGTAAACTATAGTAAAATTTTCTAAAAAGCAATTTGTTACAGACAACCTTTGGATGGACAAATAGATATAAATACACGTTAATACATATAAATAATCAGTAAAACATATACCTACACATTTCATAATATAAATAAATTTCTATATTTCCATTAAATACAGAGGAATAAAACATATGGAATATGTTTTGTAAATAATAAATTAAGATGACAGGTCATTTTCAGAAATGTATATACATATATGGGTGTGTGATATCCGAGAGGATTTCCGCATATATTTCCGGATTTATTTATGAATTAACGCCAACTATAACCAATAGCATTACTCACATTCTGTTTGTAATCGATTCTTCAGTTCTCTAATTGTTCAGGAATTACGGGTTATAAACCTCAAACAACTATGTTTTTTTTGGATTTGTTTAAAATGGTTTTGAATAGATTACCGACGAGCTAAGCTGTAACCCTATTCAGTAGAATTTCTTATCCGGGCTTCAAAGATTTTTTTTTTTCTTATCAGTTTTGTTTTTCATTTCTCAATCATGCAGTCGCAATATGCTACAGGAGGCGTGGCAGGGTACTTACTGGACTCCTGTACACCCAAATTGTTTAAAAACCATTACTTTCTGAATAGAAACATAAAATATTCCAAAAATGATATGCTTTCCTGTGCCATGTTTATTTAAAAAGGGGTTCAAGAATTTTCTTCACATATTAAGAAATACTTTTACTGTTTTGATAATGCAGCGGTTTTTGCAGCTTATGATGCAATATGCATTGTCTATAACACAGCGTATACCTTTTATATAGAGCAGATATTTTTACTTACCTTAACAAAACCGAACGACATCTAATGGTTAATAGTGTACATTTTAAATATGCACCATTGCCGTCAGAGTCTAAGGTAATGGTTACTGAACAGAGATGGCGTTAAGTCATAAAAAAACCTTATGGACGTGTATGAAACTCCATCAGGCAATCACCTCACCCAGATGGGACGGTGTTGAAATTGAACTGAGTAACACCACACGGTGTGCCACTGTACGCCTAAATTGAATGGTGCTGGAACTGTTTTTATTACTTATTAGTAAGATATCCTCCGCTGAACTTATCCGCAAAAGTGCGGGCACCACCTTCGAGTATAAACCCTCATTTAGGCGACATCCAGGCACACGCGTACATCACCTCCGAGCAGTTCGCCAAATAAAATAAACCTTTCCCAAGCCCTAAGATTTTTGATCATCTAACGCGAAGCATATTGAATTGATACCAAGAATTAGCTTATCTGTTAGGCACAAATACAGTAAACATGAAATACTTTTACTATGAATAGATCTAGCTCTGCACAGAGAGAGAATAAATTATACAGGATGAACACAAACTGCTTTACGGTCAAGAAAAAAGAATAAGATCTTCTTCAAAATGAGTTGTCAGAAATGTCTCATCGCTAGTACCTGACTGCATATTTAGATATATATAGATATATATATATCATACTCGTATATATTTATGTATGTTTATGTATTGGACGACCGGATGGCGTAGTGGTTTGTGTAACGTACTGCTATTCCAAATGTCTCGGGTTCGATTCCCGCTCAAGTCAAACATTTGTGTGCATGAACATTTAATGTTTGATTTAGTCTGGGTGTTTTTATGTATAATAAGTATGTATTTACAAAAAAGAAGTATATATGTATTTATATCAGTTGTCTAGTAGCCATAGTACAAGCTCTGCTTAGTTTCGGACTAGATGGCGTTGTGTGAATGTGGTACAATAATATTATTATTATATATAAATTTATTTATGTATATTATACCTAAGTTAGATTTTTCTTAAATAAAAAATAATAAAATGAACAATGTCAAATTTCATCGCATCATATTTCTACATCCCCCGAAGGTCGACTGGGAGAGAAAACTTAAGAATAAACTCCGTATTCTTAATCACCACACGGAATCCAAGCATATTATCCCAATCATCACCAAAAATTTGCTTTTATTTCTAAATACATACATATTATTGATAAATCACACCATGACAGATTAATGAGAGGACAGATTAATGATCGTACTCATCACACAATATTTGTGTTCCCACGACTTTTGACTTATAATATATAGGTATATATTCCAGAAAAAACTTTATAACATAGCTTAAAGTTTTTAGCAATATTTGGTTAATTTAATTACGTTTTTTAAATAAAATTAGACCTTTTTATGATCAGACGGGTTGGTATAGGGTTTGTTTCGGGCACGCCGTCATCGCGGCGGTAAGACCCGTTATGGAAGATTGGCTCGAGAGGTGTCACGGGACCCTCTCATACCGACTGACGCAGGATGGGACTGGGAAAGGATGTTTCGGGGATCACCTGTGTCTGATTCGCAAGGAGCCAACGCCTGAGTGCCACCACTGCGATGGCCAGACCGTAAACACGGCTCTCCACACGCTGGCAGAGTGCCCGGCGTGGGTTGAGCAGAGGCGAGACCTCGTGGCGGCCATCGGAGTGCGAGTTCTCTTGCTCGATAGCCTGATTGCGGCTATCGTGCGGAGCGAAAGTGCGTGGAACTCTGAGGTCTCCTTCTGCGAGCAAGTTGTGCTCGCGAAGGAGACGGCGGAGCGGGACCGGGAGAGGTTTAGGACTCTCCCGGCACGGTACTATTATAATACAGTACTCCAACTTCATACAAACGGACGAAACGCGAGCTATACCTACGCGCCTCGATCTCGGGGTGCGGTCGGGGCGCAGACAGTCACGGCTGTACCGCAGTGTCGAACGGGCGGTGTGTTGTTTTTTTAACAATAACCGCGCGATTTTTTCTCTAAAAATCAGTTAATATGACGAGTAGGAAATATTGTGCTGTTTTTGGATGTATGAATTCGTCAATAACGCATCCAGACATAAGTTTTTTTAAATTAATTAGAAACTCTGAAAGGTAAGACTATAAAAAAATTTTACTTACTAGTAGATACGTACATGTGTGTCTTTTTAATGGATAAGTATTTCCTTTTATCTCACGAAAAAAAAGGTGTTTGGATTAATAAATAAAGCGACTAGAGTAACGGAAAGTTATTGAGACGAGTGAAATAGGTAGTTATATGCGGTTCTGAATGAATCATGATACGGTAGGTACCTACCTACTTACGCTTGTGTTTAAACTTCGGTGCATGTGTGTTTGCATAATTCAAAGTAAAGACGTGGTATTTTATTATTAATAATATTTGTTTATTATCTGTGTGTATGAATAATACTAGAAATTTTTTTTAACCGTCTGTGTGTCATTAGATAGTTTTCGAAATTTTCACAAAGTGTTTCTGCTGCTACTATAACAACATATACCACTAAAAACTGGTTTTATTTTCTCGGTATTAACAACAACAGCTAGACTCATATATAATATTTAGATGTTTGAGGGTTGTGATTTTAAAACATTCGTAGTCAGCTGTTCAGCTTTTTAATAATTAATTAATTTTTTGACCAAAGAATTTTTGTTTTGAGTTGTTGCGAGTTGTAGGTAGGTACCTAATTTATAGAGACGTTAATAAGCTGAGATAAAAAGTTACTCGTCAGCTGTTTCTTGCATTCTAATTGAGTAGGTAGGTGTTGGAGTTTCTAAGGATTGGAGTTTTGTAACGCGTAAGGAGAAAGCACATTTTTTTTATTCTATAGAAGGATTTTTAAGCTATTGCATAGCTTTTATCGCGGGCTCTGAGCGCGGCGCGGCGCGGTGACCGAATCAAGAAATTCTCAAAACCTAACGAAAAATACCTGTCACCACGCAGATTTTTTCTTTAAAAAAAAAAATGTTATGCAATAGTTTTACCGCGGCAGTCTCCGAGAGTGCCACATGTGTTTTTTTTTCAGACGTCTTCAATGGTTGCAACTGATCCGGCGAGATGATTTGGAAAACAAACCTAACTTTAGTTCCTACCAAGTTTGTGAAAAACATTTTAATTTGGAGGATGTATTACATTCATCAAATAGAAAACTTTTAAAAAAGAATGCCCTACCCTTTTAAAAAAGAATTGTTGATGCTGCCAAGCTTAGCTAGTACTGATCCAGGAGTCTCTCTAAAAGAAGATAAACAAACTCAAACTGCTCCGTTGGTAGGAAATGAAAATAGTACACAGACTGAAAATGCAACAAATGAAATTTTTGCTCAAACCTCAACGCTCAACAATCAAAAAACAACACGCATTTTTATTGAACACTTCCTATTCAATATACAAAGTATTTCATTTATTTATATAAAAAGGATATTTACAATCACAAATCTAAATAGAAACAAAAAGTAGGCAAATATAATTAAAATACTGGCAACGGGCAGCCCTAACGCATGTTTACGTACCGCGCGGCTGTAGGCATTTATTTCTATCATGCGGCCGAGTTACACTACTGTATTATAATTATACCGTGCTCCCGGCCCGCCAGGCCCGGGAACGGGCCAGGTACCGCAGGCGACTCAGGCGCCGGAGGTCGCAGAACGACCTCCGTCCTCCATAAGCGCAGGCCTGGGGGTGACAGGTGAGGCCATCTGGTGGTGGGTGGCGGCGAGCGCGTTGCGAAGCGCGCTCGCTTCCAGGGAGCAGAGGGAACATGGGGTTCCCACACGGGGGGGGTCGTCTACTTGTTGTAGATGAATGAACAGAATTTTTACAATTATGTTTTTTTAACATTTTAATACCACTAATTTCAGTAGATATAAAATTTGTTTCAGCTCTGGGAAGAAAAATTATCTAGAGTGAATACTTCGAATACTAGATACTATAATAAAGTTCTGTATATTACTCATCGTTCTCGTACTCTAACGTAAATAATCTTTTCTCTAAATACGTTCAGAGTTATTGATATGCGCTCGAAACATAAATCAATGAGATCACTACGGAAACAAAACACGTTGGCACCTAAAACTTCCCATTGTGAGTTTTTGATAAGGGCCATAATGATTATCTATTTTTGTTTTGAGAACCAGGATACTATTATATTCATTCATATTTCAAATAATATCGTTACGTCACAAGGTTCAAAGAAATAACGCATGACAGGGCAATGCGTCAGAAAGAAAAAAATTGTTTGGTATTGTTAAACTAGGTGCATTTAACTGGAAGTCAGCGGTAAGAAATGTCAATCAAGGCCCTTGTCTTGCCTTGTGAGCACGTTTCCGTATCGCGTTTGTGTTCTTTCCAGCAACCAGTTAATGTGTGACAGATATAGTGAATAACCATGTCAAAAATTTCTTCACCACCATATGTGTTGTTGTATTTAGTCCTTGGCCTCCTAAATACATGTGCACAAGTATCAGCATGCAATTCAACGATATATTGTACCGGTGAACTCCTGCATACAGTTCAGATTAGGAAAATTTTTGGCCATTCACGTACTTTTGTTGATTTAAAACTTACGAAGTCTCCAAAAACAGTACTTAGGACTTTTGAGGCACTTATGACGGAAACGGACAATAATCCTAGCAGCGTTCAGCTCAGGGGTTTTCTTGAGAAACATTTTGAAGATAGAGAGGAACTTCGTTATTGGCACCCAACAGATTTCACACCCGTTCCTCCAATTATAAGTGAAATTAAAAATCCTGATCTCTTACAATTTGCTAAAGACATTATCAATATCTGGCCAAAACTGGGACGGAAAGTATCCAAGGATGTATACAAGAATCCAAAGCTATATAGTTTTATATATGTACCGAGAGGATTTATAGTGCCCAGCGAAAATTATAAAGAATTGTACTACTGGGACTCCTACTGGATTATCCGAGGTCTCCTGATCAGTAAAATGATGAAAACTGTAAGGGGCATGATCGAAAATTTTTTGTACCTTGTAGTAAAGTTCGGATATGTACCTAGCGGCACTCGAGTCTATTACCTGGGCAGAAGTCAACCACCATTTCTTTCCTGGATGGTTTATGACTATTTTACAGCAACAGGAGACAAAGCATGGCTGGAACAAAATATCGCGACCGTGGAAACAGAACTGCAATATTGGCTCAAAAAGAAGACCGTTACAGTTGAACTTAAGGGGAGTGGATACACATTACTACGATATGTATCGGATAAATATTTCAAGGGTCCTCGTCCAGAATCTTACAACGAGGATTACACGAACGCTCAAAAGGTACCCGAAAACATACGTGAGTTATTTTATATGCAGATCAAGAGTGCTGTGGAAAGTGGTTGGGACTTCTCATCTAGATGGCTCGTGACTTCTGCAGCAAAAGCCGAATTCAATCTTACCGATGTTAGCACTACAAAAATCCTGCCGGTTGACCTGAATGCAATATTTGCTGCAGCTCTACAAAAGACCGGTAACCTTAGAGATCATCTTGGACACCATCAAAGTGCCACGAAGTGGTGGAATCTAGCTGAGCAATGGAGAGACGCTATTGATAACGTTCTATGGGATTCTGATGACGGTGTTTGGTATGACTTCGACAGTCGGCAAATGTCGCGGAGGAAATTTTTCTATATAAGCTGTGCATCACCTCTTTGGGCAGGCGCCGTCGAACCTTGGTTAGTACCAGAACGTGCCAGATATTTCGTAAGATACTTGGAGTCAAGTGGTGCATTGAGATTTCCAGGCGGAGTACCTGCTTCACTATGGCACACAGGAGAGCAGTATGACTATCCAAATGTGTGGCCACCACTCCAGGCTATGATGATAAGTGCATTGGAGAACAGTGATTGTAGTGAAGCGAAGCGTTTAGCAAGACACCAAATACAACTTTGGGTACGCGCTATGTACGCGGGATTTAAGAAATATAAAAGAATGTTTGATAATTATAATTGTTTGATCACGGGCGAGCATGGAAGTCGTACCGATTATATAAGTCAATATGGTTTTGGATGGACGAATGCATATACTCTAGAACTTCTTCAAAAATACGGGTCTGAGCTAACTCTTGATTAAGTTTTTGTGTTCAGTGTATATATATTTTTTATAATAATCTTATATTTGTACGTATTGCATTTTACCTCTACTAAAGCTGTATTTTTTTTACACGCTTTTTATTAGCTTCACCTGTATGTTTGTTTATAACCGACTCCTTTGGGCGTGATTTTAACTGACTTGAAAAGGACAGAATTCGTTCAAACTTTGTAGATATATCGAGGACCGATGACAATACACTACTTTAAAATAAAAAATATAAATAAATAATATTAGAAATAATAGTTTAAAAAACTAAATGACACGCTTTTTAAAGAAAATAAATTTGAAAAAAAAACGTTGGGTGCATGTTGTCAATAGTAAAAAGCACCCCACGCTATTTTTTGTTTATTTTTTTTTAATTTATTAATTATTATTAATTTTTATTTTTTAGTTTGCTTTCTATAAAAAGCGTGTTATTTAGTTTTATTAACTATAAATTTTTTTTCTGTTATTGTTTGTTTGTTTAAACGCCACTATAATAATAACCTTAATAACTGGCTCTTAAGATGGTATCTTGTGAATTTAGGGCCACCATACTTTAGATACATATGTGCCTGACCCAGTTCTCGACAATGGTCCAGCCATATTGTTTTAGGATCAATCTATTATCACAGACAGTACATTCGACGGGCATGTTGGTCTTCTAGTGGTCGTGGGATCGATTCCTACTTAGGACAAATAGTTATGTAATGAGCACGATCATTTGTTCTGTGTCAGAGTGTAATTTATCTACAATATATACGTACTTAGAAACATATAAGTATGTTTATCCGCAATCTGATTACCACAGTACAGGCTCTGCTTAGTTTGGGATCAGACTGCCTATCAGTTTTCCTTCTTCCTTTATCCCGTTCGAAAACAACAGGCGGCCAAGTATGGGGTGACTCGCGTGGAGTAATACCACTGCCGCACAAAAAACCAGTGCTAAGTAATTATTTTGATGCTTTCCACTGAGTGGTTGAGGTTACTGTAGCGCCTCATGCCACCTTGGATGTGGCCCATGGTGGACGGGACGGGTTTTCTCCACAAACTGCCATAACGGCCAGCCGCCTAAATAGAGTATACGAAGGTGGTGCCCGCGTTATTGCGGGTAGTGCTAGAAGGGGTCCGGCTGTGTTAATAACAGCAGTTCCTAGATCCCTCGTATTGCAGGCGCAGAGTGGCAAACCGTGTGGTTTTAGTCGGTCCGATTCCGATACACCACCCCGCCGCAAATCCCAGTGGGGTGACGGCCCGAGGGGGTTTCCACATGTAAAAAAAAGGCCTTGGTCTCATGTGACCGGTCTGATCGCTATCCCCTATAACATAAATAAACATCAAAAACACATTTTGGGTAACAAATTTGTTATAATAACAAATATAATAAAAATATTTGGATTACAATTGGTGGATAAAAACGATCTTTGAACCTTGAATTTTAGTTCAATCGGTGCAGAACTGTTTGAGTTCTTGAAGCAACACAAACCAACATGACATTTATGTGTACACATATACGTTCGTATGTCGTTTAGCTCGTTCTTGACATTTAACATAATTATCTTTAAAAAACTGATAAGAATTCTTACTCCTACTATATTCGTGATCATTCTAAAAAAGATTGAACTAACACACCTTTAAGTATTAATATTATTAAAACTCACATAAAATTACGAAGGAAATCAAGAACTATCATTGTCCAATCTACAAACGTATTATTTAACAAGTTCAAGTGGTCATCTAGGCACAACCAAGATATGAGTAAAGAGTGCTCACTGCAGCTTTTAATACCACAACATAGAACAACAGCATTCAAAGGTAGTTTTCGTTACTCTGCTTCGAAATGTTAGAATAATATCTCTCCACCCATAAAAAGAATACAGAACGCGAATTATTTCATAACTAAATTGAAAGAATTCCTACTGCAGCAACAGAAGGAATTCGAGGACGTCAGAGTAACTCTTAGCGCGATATAAAATAGAGAGCGTGCCATGACCATAGATACCAGGTTGTACTATATCTCACTTTATTTTATTATTTACTACAAATTATTATATTTTTAATTATTATTATATTCATAATGTTTTAATGCAATCAATTTATTTTCCAATATCGATTATATTCATAAAAGTTTCCTATCAATGAAATTATTATGAAATTCCTTTTGTTTTCTTTCAGAATATTCTCAAACCAATATTTCTTTCTAATCCATCATACTTAACTACACGCCGTTTTGCTTTGGCTGTACAGTGCTTTAAGTAAAGTGCGTAAAGTAGAACACTGTACAGTGTGACATATCAAAGGTTTAATGATCGTATATTTACACTATCGAACAGACACGCGGACAACACCCTTGGGCTGCAGCTGATAACCAATGCTAGGTGCATTGCGCCTATTATTATGCTGAGCTGTGGTCCATATTGGTACAGACGTAATTTTTATTTATTAATTTAATTCTTTATGCACAAATTACAACTCACTTGTTCAATGGCGGACTTAACGCCACAGGCGTTTTCTCCCAATCAACTTTTGGGTGGTGGCGAAATGTCTGAGTAGGTGCATTAGATATTAAGTTTTGTTTTAAAAAGATAATAATTATACCTAATTTATACATGTTCTGTTGTAAATATGTAACAATCCTGTTAAATGTGCAAATTAAAGTATTTTTCATTCTTTCTTTCTTTCTTTACTAGAGGTCCTGTGCAACTTCGTTTGCGGCAAAGGAATTCTCCCATTTTTCCCATTTCCCTTAACATTTTTTATTGATGCTCGACTTTTATTGGTCGTAACGTTATGATGTGATGTATAGCTTATAGCCTTCATCGATAAATGGGCTATCTAACACAAAAATGATTTTTCAATTCGAACGAGTAGTTCCTGGGAATAGCGCGTTCAACCAAACCAACTCTCCTACTTTATAATAAACTACGAGTAGCTGACCCGCGCAACTTCGTCTGCGTCTCAATAGTAATAAATTTTATCTCTTAGCGTGATGATATATAGCCTATAGCCTTCCTCGATAAATGGGCTATCTAACACTGAAAGAATTTTTCAAATCGGACCAGTAGTTCCTGAGATTAGCGCGTTCAAACAAACAAACAAATAAACTCTTCAGCTTTATAATATTAGTATAGATAGATTGACAATAATTTACTATGTGGAGCTCTAATATAAATGAGTCAAGAATGCATTTCACCATCATTTAAATACAGCAATATTTCTAAACATTATCGAAGTGAAATGAAATGAAATTTATTTCAGCAAGTAAATCTTTTCAGATGTTTTTACAAGTCGGATCAGATATTTTTACAAGTCAGAAATCATCTCATATCGTACTCATATACATTTTACTCGTAATGAGTAATGACTTGATTGACACTTGATTTACACAGACAAATAAATACCCTTGCATTAGAATCGGTTTTTAAACTATTAATACGGATATATATATATATATTGGATACTCTTTATTGCACACCATGTTTTTTTCATTCAAGGGTAAATCCGCCCCGAGAGGGATTTTATTGTGATGCAACACGCAAAATTCTTCTATTTGATACAGAAAAGAAAACATAAATTCAATGATAGTCTCAAGGTTAACATTTCCAATTACTGTAGTTACAAAATGTATAAAATTACGTTTATACAGACTTAAATCTAAACCTAATCACTAAAGTTGTAAACAGTTGTTTAATTTTTTCTTTTGAGTGTATGTGATGATCGTTATTAGGCCATGGGAACTCTAATTTTTTCGCACTTAAAAGTAGCCTATGTGTTAATCCAGAGTGTCATACCAAATTTTATCAAAATTGGTCCAGCAGTTAGAGCGTAAGGAAGTAACAAACATGCAAGCACACACACTCATAAAGTTTCACCTTTATAATATTAGTGTGATGTGATAAGTCTTGGTATTGAGTCGATTTAACCACTAGCTGTAGGACAAACCTTTGTTAGCGCCTTCGCAGATGGGGATTCAATCAACCCGACTGGGTTTTGTGGACAGTTTCTCTTTCAGGAGTATTTTCTGGTGAGTCTCGTTATAAACCTGCATAATATAAGTTATAAGCTCGTCTGATGAAAGAAGGCTGATATACATCAGTCAAGTATTTAAATGTAAGTATAGTGTATGCTTGGAATGTTAATTCATATTTTTTGTAACTTTCTTGTGGTTTTGAGTGTTTTCACGGCCTACCCAAATGTCCTGCTTGCTGGCTGCTGTCTTGCTTCGGGTCGTTGATCTTGACCAATATCGATTAAGCTACACGATGACTGGGGCCTATATGCCGTCTGTATGGACAGGCCGACTCAAAATTATGGTCCTTTCTTCAAAAGGCCTACCCAGACCCTATACAGTATAGAGTCTGGGTAGGCCTTTTCGGTGTTTTCGGCCTTTTCGGTATAAGTAGTTTTGTAATAAAGTACTAAACATCCAACGTTGACTATAATGTGAATATATCGTATTGTAACCGAAGATGGAATCGGTAATCTGCTAGTCTTTGTAATACTTTACTATTTTACTACGAAAATACCTTTTATAACAGTTGTGACATCGAAAGTTGATGGGAACTGAATTGAGACCGAACTTTTATTACGAGAAACGACCTTCTGAGCTTTAAATGTAATATGGCGTTTTAAATAAATGATTTTTATCAAAAACTAATAAAATTCTGTACAAATAAATGGTCAAGAAAAACTAACACAACATGAAAACAACTGTATTTTTAACAAAATCTTATAATTTAACAATATAGCATATATTTTATAATTCCATATACTACGTTCGATACACTATCTACAATCAAAGCCCGTGTATCTTTAAATAATTTAATTTAAACAATTCCTCATTTCTAGTTTAACTTGTTTCTTTTTTTATGTTAGAGGGGGGCAGACGACCAGACGGGTCACCTGATGGAAAGTGACCATCGCCGCCCTTGAACGTCTGCAACTCAATAGTCACAAACGCGTTGCGGCCTTTTAAGAAGGAGTACGCTCTTTTCTTGAAAGTTTGAAGGTCGTATCGGTCCGGAAATACCGCCGATGATAACCCGTTCCACAGATTTGTTGTGGGGGGCAAAAATTGTCTCGAAAAGCGTACAGTAGTGGAGCGCCAACTATCCAGGTAATGAGGTTGCGGCTGGTATTAGTGCGAACAAATCCTCGGAGCACTGTCCATGATATATGCGAAAGAGAATGCAGAGTGAAGCCACATCACTACGTAACGCCATGGGATCGAGCAGATCGGCAATTTGATCTTTTCCTTCAGATGCCAGAGAGTTTTCTACCTTCAAGACACTTATTAAATAATAATTTAAGCTCAAACATCTCACATGCAACCATATGATCCCAAACTAGGCAGAGCCTGTACTATGGTAACCAGACTGCTGCTAAACATACATAAATAATTGACAACATGCTTTGAAAAGTGTATTTTTATTATTAAATCCTTAAGAGTAACACTATTCTAAATAAGATATCGTGTAAGATAATTATACAAAAAAAATCTAGAAATTAATAAACCATTTAAAATCTAATGTACTCATAATCACCTATTTTGTAACTATAATTATTTTTAGATTATTGAAGCATCTTTAAAATAAATCATTATACAATGTTAGATACAAATTGAATTATATTAATGTTACGCTCAAAGAGTGAAAATGCTCTCGCAAACAGTCACTGCAAGACATATCGCTCAGTGTTCTATTGTTTATGGTACAAGGGGCCAACGAGCAGACGGGTCACCTGATGGTAGAGTCAAAGGGAGGGGGCAAAGGGTTTTGGCTTCGGTAACCTCACTCACTGAACATTGCCGACTGGCTTAGTGGTGCAGTGGTACCGTATGCAACTGCTGTGCTGAGGTTTCGGGTTCGATTCCAGGGTCGGCCCAAATACTTGTATGATCTGCAAATATTTTGATTCGAAGTTTGGGTGTTTTCTATGTATAATATGTATGTATTTACAAAAAAAAAGCATATAAAGGACAAAGAAAGTCCGAAGAACTATTATTATTAAAAGCAAGTTGTCTGTGAGGCCGTGGTATCACTCCGGTCGAGCCAGCTCAGTCATACTGTAGCATGGCTATTCCACAATAAAAAGGTGTTATTTCTGTCATTGCCACAACGTGTCGTCATCGTTTTCATAAGAGCCTTAAACACGCATGTTTTCTTGTGAGCTGCTTTTTCACTCAATGAGCATTTCCAATCTTTGAGCGTGACTTAAGTTACCCTCACCAATTTGGTGATACATTTTGTGATTTTTTTAAGCCAACGTGATAGTCTAAAACTCACTTAATAAGTTTGTAAAAGATAGATTTCTGTAAGCCCTGAAGGGCCTTCAGAAATAAAAATATACAACTTAGGTACTCACTTCGAAAGAACATCCAATTAAAAAGTCTCTTAACTGATATCAATTCTATAGAAATTATTACAGAACACTTTTGTCAGCAAAAATCACTTATTTTAATAAATAATGATTAGCAATACTTTTGCATGTAATGAAATCATAGCTAGAGAAATACTTATTCGACATAACAATATACATTTGTAACTAGACATTCGAACAACTATAATAAAAGCTTTAATATTTATTATTTTAATAAAATAAATAATAAATATTTATTATAATAAATTTTTTTTATATAAATGCCCGACAGTTGAATTAAATACATTAAGATAATTGCAATTTAACGAAATCTAGTAATGAACTATACTGATTTAAAAACTACAACGCAAACTTACCCCTACAGTAATAAGTCGCCATAATTCTGAATCAACTCTAATATAACTCCGTTTGTCCACCCAAAACCGTTTTGGACTTCATACTCCCCACCTTGACCCTGTTCACCCGCATTTAAACAACTGTACTTTTCAAACATCTTCTGTGACCTCTTAAAACCTATATAGTTTGCGCTGAACCATACTTTTGCTAGTTTTCTTGCTAATTGCTTCCCTTGACTACAGTTGCTGTTTTCTAATGCGCCAATCAGCATACTTTGTAGAGGTGGCCAAGCATTAGGAAAGTCCCACTGTTCACCTGTTTTCCACAGTGATGCAGGAACCCCACCGCGGTATTGCAGTGCACCTGTTGACTGTAGGTATGTTATGAAACGTTTCCCGTGGTCCTTTACGTTGTAAACTTCAACCGCACCTGCCCAAAGCGGTGCTGCACAGCTAAGATAGAATTTCTTTCGCTTTGACATGGTCTGACTATCGAAATCATACCAAACCCCATCTTCGGGATCCCACAAAAATTTATCGATCGCATACCTCCACTGCTTTGCTAAGCGCCACCATTTTTTTCCATTTAAGTTTAGTTTACTCTTCATGTCCCCAATTTTTTTTAAAGATCCGGCAAAAATAGAATTCAGGTCAACCGGAAGGATACGTGAAGTACTTATATCGGTCGGGTTGAACTGGATGTCTGTTTCAGAATGCGTAACCCATCTAGATGAAAAATCCCAACCACTCTCTGCTGCACTCTTTATGTGTGTGTAAAACACTTCATGCATACTCTCAGGAACCTTCTTTGCATTCATATAATCTTCATAATAAGACTCCGGCCGGGGACCCTTGACTTTCGAGTCGGGTGAATATCGTAAAAGCTTGTATTCAATTCCTTTAACTTTCAATAAAAATGTTTTGTGCTCCAGCCAATAGGTTAACTCACTTTCAACTACAGGAATAATACTTTTTAGCCACTTTTTGTCTCCAGTCGCAGCAAAGTAGTCATACACCATCCACGTCAGGAGCGGTGGTTGACTTCTGCCTAAATAATAGATTCGGCTACCATTTGGTACATATCCAAATCTTTTTACAAGGTGCAAAAAGTTTTCAATCATTCCCTTTGCCGTTTTCATCATATTGCTGATTATGAGACCTCGGACAATCCAGTACGAATCCCAGTAGTATAATTCCTTAAATCTGCCTCCGGGAACAATAAATCCCTTGGGTACGTATAAGAAACTGTAATTTTCAGAATTCCAAGCGATATCCGTTGACACTTTTCGGCCAAGCGCTGGCCACATACTGATGACATCTTTTGCAAATAGCAAAACGTTTAAATTCTTGATTTTATTTAGAACAGGAGGATGAGATTGAAAATCTGGTGGATGCCAATAATTAAGTTCTTCTTTATCCTCGAAGTGTTGGTCCAGAAAAGCCATGATTTGATCGCGGGTTGGATTGTTGTCTGCGTAAGCCATTAGGCGAATAAAACATGAAAATATCTCTTCTTCTCTGTTTAAAAGTTTCAAATCGACGAACGTTTTAGAATCTGGAAAAATTTTTGCTAGTTGGACTGTGTGCAACAGTTCACCGGTACAGTAAATTGATGAATTGCAAACTGGGCCATACTTTGAGGCACACGCTCCTAGTAGACCGAGTACGAGGTTTACGTAATAATGCGGCAAAGAAAATTTCCCCATGGTTCATTTACTGTCAGTAAATTTGGTGCAAATTAACTAATGTATAATAGACATTTGTAAGTGTTCACACACAGGACGGAGGGCAGCTATGACTATCGCGAAGTGAGTGTATTGTTAGACGATGCGACGATATCGAATGCCTTGAATTGAATGCAATAATAACGATTAATCACCTGCGAGAATAATTCTGATGACAAAGCCTAAATTCGCTCGCGTCTAATAACACCTAACAATCATAATCTGTAAATATAAAAACAGCAATTTAAGCCGTAAATAAAGGTTACATTGTCCAGGTAAGTTAACAAAGCCTGCAACAAAGTAAAATGGCAGTGATAGGGTTGCCACTAGACATGGAAATAATTGCTACTTTTAAATCATATTCATTTTATCAAATGATTGGTTTTATTCACAGCCATTTCTTTCAAAATTCTTTGTATCAAATATTACGACCTTTTTTTGAGATTTAGATCTTTCGTGAGTCTAGGCTAGCGTAATAATAATGACTAAGTAAATTCTATACTCTGGATATTTCTATACTTCTGGAGTTGTTTTTCTCTAAATATTTAACAAAATACTTAATAATAAGTAATCTGAACCCAAACTAGCCTGTACTATTGTAACCAGACTGCTGATAAACATGCTTAAATATTTCTCTAAAATAATATTTGTCTGTGTCTAATTTAAATATATGGTATGTTTATCAGCAGTCTGGACACTATAGTACAGGCTCTGCCTAGCTTTTGGGATCAGACTGCAAGTGTGAAATGTGTCAAAAAATTATTATGAGGTAAGTTAAATTTACTAAATCTTCACATTGAACTATGGTACTGGACCCGCGTGTAGAGATCCACAAGGCGGTATGTCTGTCTATGCAGCTCGATTTTTTTATTATTTTTTATTATTAACGAATTAACAATAAAAAACATTCTGAGGCAAGCTGCATTTCTGAGAATTTTTCTTACTGTTCTTAAATGCTTTATGAAATGTGGAAATTCCGCATTAGCTAAAAGACAATGATTCTCACAGTGGATATGTGTTGTTGTTATTATATCATTATATTAAGATGTGGATTCGATTCGGTAAGAATTCCACGTGCTATAGTTAAACCGCCGTAAGCTTGGCCCTCCTGATGGTTTGCGGGACGCGGGGCGGGTGATGCGCTCGGCTATACATGACACGATGTATTAACTCGATATCTTCAGATTTATTTGTTTCAGATTTAATCTACACACGATGTAATAAAAATCGAATTTATTTCCATGTATCATAATGTCAGTGTATTGTAAGTTTTTATGATTAATTGTAATATTTAATACTGTAAAATAATTTTAATAAAATCACCTTATCTTCATCATGTAAATTATATTCAGATACAATTTAAAAATTAAGTAAAATAATAAATATTCTTTATTAGAACTTTAACAGTAGAACCTCTGTAAGCCGAACTTCAACTTTTTAAATCTTTTTGTGACGCAGAGTCGGCAGATTATCCATGTTGTAAAATAATACCGCAGTCTTAAGAAAAATAACACGTACGGCCATGCTTTCACGTCAGTCACTGCCGGCGGACAGCGACGCACTAGCTAATTGGTTGAAAGCACTCCCGCCCCGCGTCCCCCAAACCATCAGGAGGGCCAATCTTACGGCGGTTTAACTATAATAAACACTGACAAAACAACTGGTGACACTGGTGGCATAGGATATAGTTGACAAATAGGTTTACATTTAATCTGTCATCGTAAGATGCTGCGTATTAATTTAATTTATAAACCTACACACATTTAATCTACTAGTAATATAATAAACACGATAAGGCAAATCTTTTGAACTACTAATCCGATTGAAAAAAAAACTTTTTTGTTACAGTTGTAGAGTATATATTGACGAAGGTTTAAGACTATGTAGCGAGGACGAGACTTGGTCAGTGACCTTGAAACTGATGAAAGTGAGTTGTCGTTGCCAAGTAGATTGGCGATATATCATAGTGATGAGATGTCTCTACGAAGCCGCCACCATGTCCGTCTAAGTACATAATCAGCAAACACAATGAGACAAGAGACGTTATTTCCCCGAAATTGTTCACGAATGCAATGGTGGACATGTTCAAGGCACTACACTGGAAAAGGCGTGGCAGGAATATCAATGGCGAATACATCTCTCACTTGCGATTTGCAGACGACATCGTCATCATGGCAGAGACGCTGCAGACCTGGCTGACTCTTCTATACGCATCGGCCGAGGGATGAACTTGGAAAAAACCAAGGTCATGTTCAACGAACATGTACTACCGGAACCGATTGCGGTACACGATGCCGCTCTCGAAGTTGTAAAAATATGTGTACCTCGAGCAGACATTGCAGTTAGGTAGAAACAACTTCGAAGACGAGGTGAATAAAAGAATTCAGTTGCGTTGGGCAGCGTTTGGGAAGCTACGTTGAATCTTTTCATCGTCGATCTCACATTGCCTAAAGGGAAAAGTCTTCAATCAGTGCGTCCTACCCGTCATAACATACTAAGCCGAAACGTGGACACTTAGGTACGGCTGGTCCACAAGCTTAAAGTAGCTTAGCGTGCTATGGAAAGAGCTATGCTCGGTGTTTCTCTAAGGGATCGCATCAGGAATGAGGTGATCCGGCAGAGAGCTAAATTGACATAGCCCACTGGATTAGCAAGCTAAAGTGGCTGTGGGCTGACCATATTAGCCGCAGAATCGACAACCGTTGGGGTAAATGAGTTCTTACATGGAGACCGCGTCTATGCAAACGTAGTGTAGGACGCCCACAGGCCAGGTGGAGTGACGATCTGCGAAAGATGGCTGGCAGGAGGTGGATGCGAGAAGCCGAAAATGGATCTAAGTGGCGTGCAATGGGAGAGGCCTACGTCCAGCAGTGGACTGCTATAGGCTGACGATGATAACATTAGCTGATTCACAGTTGTTAAGCTGATTATACAACCATAATAATATTCTTACGTATTTGACAGGTATGTTTAAAAAAAACGAGTATTTTAAATTGAACAACAAAACTTATTCAATTTTTAGCTAAATCGCTGTATTTTAAAAAAGCACATTGAATTTATATTTTATTATGTAGGTAACGAAAAGTACGCCAGAAAGTTATTGCGTCAGAGTACAATATACATATTACGTATGTTTATGTATAAACTAATGTATAAACAAAACGATTTTGCAAAAGTCTTAATTTGTTTTAAATAATTCAGAAGTATAACGGCAGAACGGCTCTTTGAAATATCTTAAACAAAGTTGTTATTATAAATAAGATACTAACGATTTAAAATAATTGACATACATGAATGAAAGTGACTACCTATTTTAGGATTGCTAGCTTACAAACCAAATTACTGTCAGAGTAAAATGGACCGTGGCTAGTGGACTAACATGGCATAGAGTAAATTAAACAATTAAATTCCAATCCAAGCATATAATATTATATTCGCTTATTGTTAATATTTTGGTTTATTTTATTGCTCAGTTTAACTGGAATTGCCATTGTATAGACTTTCCGTTGATGAGATTTCGACATATAGGTTTAAAGTGGTGTGTTAAGCTTTTTATAATCGTTTTTACACAAGTTAAATAAAAGAAATATCAATGTTGCAATTGTTTATTTGGTAAAACTCGTCAATAGCTACTACACAAAATCGAATAAAGGAAATCGTTCGAAAAACATAGGAGAAAATTGTTCTAATTGGTTATACTTATAGGTAGATCTTGTAATATTTACAATGGGTGCATGAAAATAAAATAATACGAATTTAACAGCTAATTTTATACCTTATCGCTAAATTGCCTAACGCTGGTCGTTGCTTCTATTTGACTAAAGTCTGCTACTCTGAAAACTTCGAACCTCTCCTTACTCATAGAAAAACAACAATCTATCTATTCGGTGTACTTTTTTTTCACTAGAATCTGCGTGAAAAGTTTCATACGTGTATTTTCACTTTTATACTTGGGACAGTTTGTGTTCTTTATTTTTATTTTAAACTTAAATATATTACATTCGTGTGAATTTAAAAAAAATATTTAATTTAAATTTTATTATAAACAATATTTATATTAAATATTTAAAGGTCATGATCCTTTTAAGTTAAGTAAATTTTACGCATTGGAAACATGACGCACGACGCACGCGCCAGCCACCGTCCATGTCAAACTTACATGCTACCATTAGCTGGTCTTCTAGGCAAGCATAACTGTTAGAATATAGAATACTAATATACTTAGAAAGTCTATAAATAACGAAAATTTAGTAAAGAATTAAAACGAGTTGGTACTATGTAGTAATAAGTATTACTTAAAGATTACCGACTTAATCCTTTGATTCTTGGAAACAATCTAGCCCTTATTCCACGGGCTCAAATCCACAATCACTAGCCGGCGTGACGTAAGGTAATTCCATTTGGGAACCGAATTCGGCTTCTAACAAAACTTGTTGAATTTTTAGTCTGGCAAGTGCGTTTTGCTTAGAGTTCAAACGTTTTAGTGTTGGGGCACAGCTAAGGAGGAACAATTCGTCCGGGTCTGTCCTAGTGCAGTGACAAGGAGTTTCGTCATCTGTGGTTGAATTTTGGCGCGCTTTTTTCGGTGACGGTTGTGATTGAGAGTCGTCGTCTTCGTCATCTTCTTCGTATTTTGTGTCTGAACTATTGTAGGTCGATAGGTCGGGTAAGGATTGTGGCGCCCGTTGACGCATTTCTTCTTCCCCGTCTGATTCTTCGGCTTCCTTTTTGGATCTGGAAAGAAATATTAAATTTATGTAATTAGATTTTATATAAATATTAAAAACTATATACCAATACTTTTCACTAATAGAAAAGAGTGAATATTACGAAATAACATTTGTTTTTGTTTAAAATACCTATTTTGTTCTATATAAACAGGAGGTCATAAAAAAGAGCGAATATTAAGCTGTTTAATGATTTTTAAGACTTGTTTACTTCCACGGGAATTACATTGTACATGTGTATACGAAATTAATAACGTATTGTTGAACGCTGTAATAGCTACTCTCCAATACATATTTTAACATGAAACTGTCTGCAATTTACAGTTTACTAAGCACAACTAATATCATAACAAATGTGCGTTTGTTTGTTTACATGTAAGGTTTCATGCATTATCTACAAAACCGATCATTATTTCATTTAACATTTTTTTTTTTGTATGGCAAACTCCTCGGATCATTACGTAACTCGTAATCAAACCGACTAATACCACACGCTGTTACGTCACATGTATCTAAGTTTTTTGCAAGACTCGGGTATACCGTAGGAAGGAAGTTCCCAAAAAACTTATCTTCGAGAAAAGACGTACTGGTGCTGAGTGATAGTGCATGCATTAACAAAATGTGTTTCAACATGGAATTTCACCCGATAAGATATAAACCACAGCAAATACATAGTTTCTCACAAATAACAACTTATAAGATTAGTATTTAGGCGATATAAAAGAGATATTATAAATAATTACGCATTGTCTTTGGGCTCAATGTGCGGCAGTAGGAACCTCATAGCTTGATGGTAAGGCCATCTGGTACGACCCCCGTGAGTTCGCTGCAGTTTGATGAATGAGTCACGAAGGGAGCGCCAACGTTTCTTGCACTCCGACTCTGTGAAACAAAGGAGATATGTATATATAAAAAAAAAAACCATCCGGACAAGTGCGAGTCAGACTCGCCCACCAAGGGTTCCGTACAAAGGACAATGGCAGGCATGTATGTCTTTTGTACCGCCTTGCATATCTCATGGTAGGGATTTTGGTTATATTTATTTAGCTTTAATTATCAGATTTTTAGAAGTTTGCGTTCTAAAGTGATTTCAATTTGTAATTTGCGTATAAGCTGTAGGACATTTCATAAGATTGTTGTCGGACTTTTTAGGGCTCCAACCACCCGTATCGATTACCACACATGTTATCAACATCGTCTATTCGGTGGGGTGGATTCAAGTGGTTTATATTAATATGAGGAATGAGCCAACCTGTTACAAGTGCCAGTGTTTTAAAAAAAATTGGACCATTATTTTGGTTTTGGAATGAGGAAGTTTTGGTTATAAGGTAAACATTCTAGTTCGGTATTGTAATTGTATAAATGACTCCATAGAATTTACAGACATTGGCCCATTGTGAGATTTTTCTAAATAAATAAACCTGCCTCCTTATTATTATAATGCTTATCGTTTTATTCAATTTCCTATTATGCGATGTGTTGTTATGTCAACCAGTGTTTGTTTTTCGAACTTACCATAAAATATAGGATTTAAAAAAATTATAGATACTAAACAAATTCATCTCTAAGTACCTGCTTTTTTTTATAGTTAAACTAATTAAATAATACAAATTATAGCCATATGTTATAGTCAACATTTTCTTGTTATTCTTAAAGGTTTTTAATCATCTTTTTTACGTGTACATTCGATAAAGTTAAATGGAGCTCAAACTCTGATGAAACTGAACTCTGAAAAAAATTAACTTGATCTCAAACGAACTCACTGACCAGCAGGATGATGAAAGAACCATTTCAGTTTTGAGATAAGGACACCCAGGCGGTGTGAGAGATGTTTGGGGCTATTAATAAAATAACCTCAAAACGTCTGATCCCAAACTAGGCAGAGCCTCTTGTATTTCGTTAACGAAATCATACGTTACTACACGATCTACCAATTCAGTACATATTATAGCATTACGATTAAATAGCCCCGAAAAGTTACCGGTCGTTGCAACGCCAGTGATTGGATTGTCAAAACACGGAGCTTTTGAGAACTATTTTAAGATGATTAAAAACTCTTGCCAATGTTAGATTTTTATTGGTCGAAGGTACTTTCTGCGTTAGGTATTATATGGTGCAGTCAATTGTACTTACCAGACACATGTAATGCTATATGCACTTCTTTCCAAGCGTCGTCTCTTAGTTTCGTCTTGTTAAATCCACTAACAGACTTGTCATATAAAATTGGATGTTTTTCCACTTCTCTGATTAAATCGATCTCGTTCATTTTTTTCAATATTTTTTTTCAGAGGCCGAATATAAGTAGACCTTTGCTTACGTAGGTATACTGCCTATAAAGTTAGACTGATGCACGAAATTCTAAAGCCGGTGAATTTTTTTTTGCCAAACGTATTGTAACTTAATAAACAAGTTGGCACGTATTAAGTGTAACTACTTAGTTTTATTATTGGATAAATCCTTTATTAACTTGTTAACAAATTTTACAGACAATTTTACAAACAGAAGTAAATAAACAAAAACACGAACACGTTTTTTAACAATCACAACAACATAACCAATTTTCTTTTTATTTTTACTGAGTTTGTAATGTTAAATTTAAGTAATATTTAAACTGTTTAGTGCACAATGTCAGGCTGTGAGTAAGATATTAGCCGGTGGCTGGGGAGGCCGGTGCCGCACGGTACGCGCGCGCCGTGCGTATCGAGCGGCGCGGCCGGCGCGGCGCTGCGGCGCGTTACCACCCGGTCCCAAACTTTAACTTATTGATTTTACTGATTAGGAGGCAAGGTGAATAGATTGATAATGTAGGTTGTGATTACAGATGCCGGATATGAAAAATCTGTTTTTTATTTCGTTTATTAGGGATTATATTTTACAACTCCAAAGAAATATAACTAAGTTTAGGTATTTCTCGAAAATGTACTTCTAAAATAACTAGCACAAATATGGTTAAGTAGACATTAAACGAGTGTAAGTTGAAATTCAGCACTCTTAGGTAATATAATATTTAAATAATATTAATATTCAGCTTTCTAGTGAGACTTCGTGAAAAAAATGGCACACTGTAAAAAAAATACTTTCGTAAAGAGATCCTATATACATTATTTATTGATACATAAAGAAAATTCTTTCTAGCCGAAAAGAAGACATATTATTTTTGGAACACGTAATGTTTCCATTCTAATTTCAATAGCCTTTATTTAACGATCTTATCGTATCGTTCCACACGGCAAAAGTTTCATCCCCATCACCTGGACAGTTGGCGCTCCACCACTGTGCCTCGTACAACCAATCTGTTAAACGGGTTATCATCTGCGGTATTTCCGGTCCGATACGACCTTCAAGAAAAGAGTGTACTACTTCCTAAAAGGCCGGCAACGCGTTTGTGACTCCTGAGTTGCAGACGTTCATGGGCGATGATGGTCACTATTTCATCAGGTGACCCGTTCATAAAAAACGTTCGTATCATAAAAAAAGGAGGTTCGATATTCTTTTATATGTTTGTTACCTCAGAACTTTATCATTTACGAAATGATTTAGTAAATTCTTCTTCGTTTGGGAGGGAATTCTTTCCATTGGGTAAATTTCACCCGTAAAGATAAAATTAAGGAATGAAGAATAGTTTATATTGTTTTAAACTGATCTTTTATTCGTTAAAATTTTACCACGAACTTCTTCAAACTTTTTTTAAAATTCCATTAAATTATGTTAATAATTAAGTCGTGTGGAGCTAAATGAGGTAAAAGGGAGAAATAAATAGCGCCTTAAGTATTATAATAATCTTTATTAAATAAAAAAAAAAGTTTTAAAGTCTCCTAGTTACATAAATCACATAAGAATTATAATATAATGGCAAAGACACTATTGGCGGTATATGTTAATTTTATAAAATTATAATTATACTTAACACTTTAGCAAAAAAAAAAAGAAATTGGGCCTCCAGACACTTCACTTACTCGGTGTAAAGTTACGAAAGAATAGCTTAACACCGGTTTCTGTGAGGCCCTGGTATCATTGATCCATTAATACCAAATCATGGTAGAGTTTTGGCTTATTGTATCAATGATATTATATATATACAAGAGGTAGATACGCCACCAACGCACAAAACATGAGGGTCCTAATTAGGACCATAAAAATTACAAATAGCTGTCTCTTTCACTCTTATGCTTTCCCTATGTCCTATCGCAGTTGTAGCGTATGCTTTGTTCTAAAATGCAGTAATAGATGTACAGTGTTACGGAACAAATATTTTGTACATTCAGTATAATTATAACGTATCTTCTTTAAAATATCATTGTATTTGGATGTCCAAGATGTTTACGGAATATATTTACCCGCTTAATAACCTGTACTGTATAGGTGAGCTTTGATTGAACTTATGTAAAGTCACCTATAATAGAGATAATAAACAAGCAAAACCTTAGCTAAATCCGAACTTAACTTGTGATAAACAACTATATTAACAATAATAATTAATCATATAAAGTAATTACTTTGTTGAATTCAGACATTTTACCATAAAAATCAATATTTAAATCTATTTTACATAGTAAATTTTCTGTAGTCCTCAGAAAGTTCTCGAAAGATAGATTTCAAGTTTACTTAATTACTACTTTCTCGAAAGTAGTAAAATTAAGTTGGAAATAAACCAAGTCATTAGAAAACTAAAGATACTCTGTTAAATAAAATATTTATATTAGGAATTATATAATCAAGTGTTTTAAGAATAATAAAATCACAATTTCTTTGGAAATAAAAGTTCATGAGGATATAAACCACATTGATTTCTATTTTTATCTACATCTTAGATATTTATAATGAACGATTTTAAAAATAATTATTGCTTAAACTATGCCAAAATTAGTAGGCCAAAACCTCCTTTCCAAGGAGAGGCTTATGTCCAGCAGTGGACTATTAAAGGCTGTTGATTGCTTAAACTATTTTTGTATTTCTTAAATAAAAATATATTAAATTATATAACAAATCTAACAGATAAACATTAGGTAGGCGTCACGCTTTTAAGATCGACTTTAATTGTTCAGACTTCATTATCTACCTTAGCAAATTTAAAGCAGAAAGAGTAAATTAGAGAATGTGTGGCATATGAACTAACAGGTCGCTTGACCCCTCGACAAAGGGCCTGACACATTTGTTTTTTACCATCATGAATTTATATGCTAACCTGTATAGCCCGTGAAAAGCCCCTGAACAGGAGTGGGGTTTCAAAAGGGTTTAGAGATGATTACTTCTAAAGAACTAGTTTTTATTTAATTTATTGACTTTGATTAGCCACTGAAAGTCCAGACGTTATTACAGAAGTCTAGTAGATACTAATTTCAGAAGTTTTATAATAATTTAGAAGTAAAAATAATTTTAGTTAAAAAAAATCGACTAAAACTGTAGTTCAATACACATTCACTTGTGGTTTTGTAACACAAACAGACAAAGCATTTAATAGTATATAAGAAATCAATTACGAATACCAATATGTTTTTTTGTTTATTATTTTCAATTTTTAAATCTTTTTGTGATTTGAGATCTCTTTTTATGTAATATAGAAATAACATGGTTTTATATTTATTTAAACTATAACGTTTAGTAACATAGTTATAATATAAAACTTAACTATATTATCAGTAACACAATATTTCGAGAATATTCTCCTTCACGCGAACAACTTGTCTTGATAAAACTTTGGGCAATAAATACTAATCGTTACTTACTAATCTCAGCATAATTAGAATCCAACGCTATTTTCAGGAGTTTCTTCTTAATTAAAGCATGATTATTCACATTTCCAAATAGTTTAAGCGTAGCGGTTTACATTCTACTTTTGAACTTAGAAAATTTAAAAAATTTGAATCCTGTAGAATGTATTCTCTGTAATCCCAAAAATGCAAATTAACGAAACACATCCCCAAAATTTAGTAACTTATACTGAGTACAAATGCAGAAATCCAAAATTTTTACCTACAAAAATAAAACGTAGAAAAATACAGGATTCTAGTATGTATATATGTTGATGGGTCCTGATGATGAAAGTCTATGCAACAACAAATGAAGTTATTAAAAATATTTAAGCAAAACCGGAAGAGGAAGTATTTTCCACATCATATCAATATTATGGTCGGAAATCCATCTCTAAAACTATACAGACTGTAGACTAGAGAAATTTTGCTGCTAGGACCTTTTATAATTTTTTAATCGCATTTTATTGTGCATCAGCTTAATATGTCTGATAACAGAAGCCTTGTAAAGGAGCTCTTGGGAACATATCGGACACTTATATTTTTTACGATTTTTCATATGTACCAATAAATGATCCCGCAAACTGCTGTACCTCATGAAGGACTTATCACATTTATCACAATTATATTTTGTCAACGTACAGCCTGTTCTTTTGTGATGTTTGAAATCCAACGTTGAATAGAAACGTTTATAACAAATATTACAACTCAAAAAGTCTAGATGATTCCACATATGGGATCTGATTGAGTCCTTTAGTGCAAAACGCTTTCCACAGTAATCACATATAAATTTTGGTATGCTATGCATCTCGAGTATATGTCTTTTTATAAGATAGTATTTTGCAAATACGCGACCGCAGTAGTCACATTCATACCTACTTTTTGGTTCAGTAGTGAGGGTATGTACTTTGTTATGGTGAACTGACTTCTCGCCTCTACAGATGAATGTCTGTCCGCATATGTCGCATCGATCGCTTATTTTCAATTTGTGTCGTTTGTAGTCAGACATAGAAATAAATTTTCGTTTACATATTGCACAGCTCACATTCTTCAAGTGTTGCCTAATTATATGACATCTTATATGCGATTTCATGTAGAATTTCTCAAAACAATAAGCACACTCAAATTTTTTTACACCTGAATGCATAGCAATATGTTCCTTGAGCTTACATTTATTAAAAAATTGCCTGAAACAAACTTCACACGTATGTTTCTTTTGCATCTCGTGAACGTTTTTCATATGTATTTTTAGATAATGCTCTTGTTTAAATATTTTCAAACACAAATTACAATTGTAGGTCTTCTGGTTGATAGAATGTATAAGTTTTATATGGTTCCTTAAATTTTCTTTGGTAGAAAATGTTTTTTTGCAGTGATCGCATTGGTAATTATATTTATATTCATGTACAACCTCGTAATGTTTCCGAGCGTCAGCCTTGGTGTAGAACTTTTGCCCACATTTCTTGCAAGCATGATTCCTTTCAAGCCCATGTCTTTTTCTATGAACATATAGTGCACTGTTGTCAGTGAAGGCCTTAGGACAGTGAGGACATACATATTTTTTATCCCCAGTATGTATTCGTGTGTGACGCTGGAAGGCGCTGGGATCGCTGAAAGCTTTCTCACAATAAGTACATTGATATGGTTTCACCCCGGTATGAGTCCGTTCATGTAGTTGTCGACTATGAAAAGTCCGGAATGGTTTTGGACAATACTGACACTTGTAATCCCTAGATCCAGCGTGGATAAGAAGGTGTTTACTACGTCCAGAACTCTGACTAAAACCTTTGCCACATACATGACAAATGTATGGACGCTCACCTCTGTGTAAGGCACGGTAATGTTTCTGAGCAGATATTTTAGAGCAAAAACTTTTCATACAATCACCGCATTGGTATTTGCCATTGTTGATCCGTTTAAAGTCAACATCTAAAGGTGGAAGAGTTTGACGAAATTTTAGTTCTGCTTTCAATATTGGACCATGGGTTTTCTTATTAGAATTAGTGTGAGACAAGTTTTTTATGCCATTATTTATTGGTTTTGTGTTTTCCGTCTTCTGGACAGGGTGCACGAGTTTTTTATGGCTCTTTAGGTCTTCTAGCTGGTAGTATCCAACGCCACAATGGCAGATATGGGGGAATGGTTGATGGCAAATGGAATGGGCTTCTAGAGTACTCTTGGCTACAAACTCGTATTCACATTCAGAGCACTTATAAGGTTTTACTTTGCCATTGACGCCGATTTTTTCATTTCTATTCGTGTTTAGACTGAAAATGAATATAATAATTAATATTTTGTTTAAAAAGCGTTTACGATCCATACTTATATTATAAATGTGAAAGTGGGCGTGTTTGTTTGTTAAGCTTTCACGCCTCTAACATTTTAAAAATTCTTTCAACAATGGAAAACCACATTATCAGCGAATAACATGGGCTACTTTTTACCGCGATAACCGAAAACCGAAAATATTATAATTTATAGATATTAGCCTCACAGTATAAGGATAATTATTGGTAATGTGGGGAAATATTTGTAAAAGACTTTCTTTGGACACTCAATTTACAACATACCTATTTGTTTTAAATTATTATAGATTGATGTAAAAACTTGAAAAACAAATGAACACAATTACAAACTGAAGGCAAATTCTCCTAATTCTCCTAATCGAAAGTTGTTCGGAACTGAATTGAGACCTAACTTTTATTAGGAGAATTTGCCTTCAGACCCAATAAGAACATACATACATCTATACTTACTGAGATTTATTTATATGTATTAGCTTATGTAAGAAAAACTTATTTTTACTCAAGAAGCATTGTCTGCAATTGTCACATTGAAATATTTTTACCCGTTCTATCTCCACAAATGAACTGGCCATCTGCAAATAAATTAATAATCTTTAATAATAAATATGACTTCAATACAAGCAATTTAAAGTAAATTCAAATATGGTATATGTGTGGCTACAGTTTTAAAAATTCATAAAAAATAATTAGTGAATTGAATTGCAAACCTTCTGTTTTATTTTAAAGCTGATCAAAAATAAATTCAACATTACACTTGTAAGAACATGAGAAGGTAAAATGCTGCATTTTATTGAAATACAGTACCATATTATTATTATATAACAGTCAATGTGTTTGTTTACATTTCATGCAGTGCATGACAAACACATGATCAAGTCATCATCATCATCAACAGCCTTTAATAGTCCACTGCTGGACATAGGCCTCGCCTTAGAAAGGAGGTTTTGGCCTACTATACCACGCAGGCCAGACGAGTTGATATAGGGTCTGTGTCAAGTTTTTATTCTTTTTGCAGTGCTGGTGTCCTGCGTTGCTCTTGCGACACCCACGGGATGAATTAGAGTAGTGACATTCCGTATTCTTAATCCGTCACTCATGTGATCATGGATGGCTGGATTAAGAATACGGAATGATGAGTGATCAACCTCAATACTGTTGGCAAACAGAATTCAACATTCCATGCCCATCCTTGATATACCAATTTAGCACATGTTGACTAAACATTCATGGTTTGTAATCACTGTGAAAAAAATATGGAAATGTTGACTAAATTTCACTCTAAATTCAAATTAAATTTTCTGCTATATAACTTTTCACTTCGGTCCAAAGTGCAAACTGGTATTTAACAATGATAACAATAAAGTACTTTTGTTTACAACATTAAATATTTGTCTCCACTAAGATCAAGATGATGCTGATTGCAAATTTAATCATCATCTAAAAGGTCATCATCAAACTAGGTTAAAGTTGGCTTTCTGTCTACTATGACAAGGCTTTATGTGTAGCAACTGCCTCCTTAACCCAAGTAGTACACAATATTGAACAACAGTTGCCACAGATGTTCGTGTTGCAACTGCCTCCTTAACCCAAGTAGTACACAATATTGAACAACAATTGCCACAGATGTTCGTGTGGCAGCCGGGACCAACTGCTAAACATGCTCTCAGTAATATGGAGGCAAGAATTGCCGATTCAATAAAAAAAAAATTGCTAGAGATAAGAAAATATCTACTTACATGATCATGGAACATCTTTTCATGATGTTTAGCATGGTCGGTCAGACAATTAACATCTAAAAAAGCTTTTGTGCATGACTTCACAGGACAGATGTGGAAGTCCAATTTTTCTACTATTACCTGTAACTCTTGGCCCTGAAACATTCATATAATACGTTAGTGAAACAAGCAAATATATTAGTTAATAATTAATATTTCCCCTGGACAATAATTGAAGTTTGAGATTTATTTTATTAACAATAAAGAACCTGACATATATATCTATGTGCTAATAGTGTCTGCACACACTATTCTTTATGAGAATAAACGTCAGTACGCACTTAACCTGCACGCATTTCACTTGTTCCCACATACGTAACAGAGGCAATGAGGATGGGATTGATGATGATGGGATGACCTGACTGTGATTGATGACTAATGATTAATGAAGGCAAGCCAGTCAGGTGATCATGGCCAGTGCAACCTGGTTGGAGTGTCCAGGCAATTGAAAGGTATGTACTTAATTCAACATCAACCAATTAAAAAATTACATACAACTACTCATTGGTCTTTTTAGTCTTTCTTCTTCTTCTTCACTCTTTGTATGTCGGAGTTGTATTACATACCAAGAAGGGTGTGTAATACAACTCCAACATACAGAAAAAAGAAAAAACCGGTGTAGACTTACAAGCGGAAACAATATAATAAAATTGTATAAACATAAACAAACTTTACACAAATTCCTTAGATAAACCAAAGAACTCGTCTTTCGTCGAAGGACACATAAGCGGTATGTAATTTTTATTATTAAATATCACGACTTACTATCATCATGTTGGCCGTCTTCATAATATCAAATATCGCAAACTTAGCACTTTAGGAATTCAACCTTTTGTTGTTACTTGGTAACAATTTGCTACCCAATATTTATCCATTGTTTTTCTAATGAAATATTTGTATAAATCGGCCCAAAATTTCAAAAAATATAACATAACGTTACGTCAATCGTCAATGTGTTCGTGTGATATTGTGTTCTGTTTTCACTTGTTTGATTGTTTGTTTGTTACTTATCATCGGTGTTACCAGATTTAGAAATTCAGATTCTGGTATTAAATTAGACTATCTTTTGTCCGCGGCTCCGCCCGCGTGTAAGTTAGCTATCGCTGTAAAATTTTTACTCGCTGATAATTTAGCTTTCCAGTGATAAAGGAAGAATTCTTAAAATCGGGTTAGAGCCTGTAAGCATAACAAACAAACAAACTCACTTTTATAGTTATAATTACTAGTTGCACGCGTACGCGTACGTCGGTTACCGCGGAAAACAGCTTATGTTATTTTTGTTTGTTACGCTTTCACGCATGCAACAGCCAGTTAATAATATATAATAAATTAAATTTATAAAAGTCCAGCAGTGGACTATTAAAGACTTATTTATTGTGATTGTTGATATCTTTACATAGTGTAAAATGAAGTCGCTTTTTTTTTTGTACGCAACAGATTTTAAACTGATTTTCACCAATAAAGAGATTGATATAATAGTAGAGAAAATCCGAGAAATTTAAAAAATGGTAATGTAAAGTTGTAAAAATATGTTTTTGTGCGCTTACATTGCAGACGCTGCCTAAACCTTACGAGATAAATCAAAATAACGTAAATACGGAATTATATATCTTAAAAAGACCTACAAAACAGTCAGCAATTGTATATGGCTGGATAAACCATAGTAACCATTTTTATCTTTTACATATATCAAATAATGGGTAATTTACGCAGCTCTTTTGAACAATACAGCATCATTCCTTATCCAAATAAATCTTTAAAGTATTTAAACAGTGTTAAACAGTTACAAAATCAAGGTATTCGGGCTCGGTTCGGTTGCTTTATGGGTGCGAAACGTGGTAGCTCCGGCAAGACGTGGAGAGAGGTCAAGAGCAAAGCTCGGGACCGAACGCGATAAAGGAGTACTGTGGACGCCCTCTGCCTCATCTCGAGGCATTAGGATATTATATCAAGTAAGTCAACTGATTTAAAATATTTCATTCCTTTATTACTTCATCTAATCTGTACAATCACATGTTGCCGTAGTCGCGGAGCCCTATTCTGTACCTCCCCGTCCAAACTCGATGGGTGACTGGGACGGCTCCGTGGCAGTCGTCGGTTCCACGACGGCTCATTCCCCGCCCTTGTCGCTAAGAGACAAGGGCACTGGATATGTTGCCGTCGAGTGGGGGGGGATCACCATATATGGCGTTTATTTCTCCCCCAACCGGAGTTTGAACGACTTCGAGGTTTTCCTAACCAGCTTGGAGACCTCGATACGGCGACTAGCGTCTGGGCACGTCCTTGTACTGGGGGACTTCAACGCAAAGTCCATTGCGTGGGATTCCCCCAGGACGGACGCAAGGGGCGAGGCCGTAGAGGAGTGGGCGGCCTCGGTGGGCCTCTGTCTTCTCAACAGAGGCTCCACCAACACGTGCGTGCGACAGCAGGGGGGGTCGATAGTGGACCTTTCGTTCGCTACCCCTGCCCTCGCCGCACGAGTAAGGAACTGGCGTGTCCTGGAAGAGGTTGAGACGCTCTCGGATCATCTGTATATCCGATTTGAGCTCTCCCGGACCCAGGACTCCAGTAGGGGTCACGTGGCGCGGCGTTTGTCCCGCTTTCCGCGGTGGGCTGTTGCCAGACTAAACCGGGACCTACTAGAGGAGGCAGCCATAATTCACTCGTGGCTGTCTCCTCAGGCTCCGGCTGGTCGCTTTCGCGATGCGATTACGCATATCTGCGATGCGGCCATGCCCCGCATTCGAGGTCGTCGGCCTCCAAGGAAGGAGGTCTACTGGTGGTCCCAGGAGCTGGCGGACCTCCGTGCGGCCTGTACACGTGCCCGGAGGTCCTACACGGGCAGTCGGCGGCATCACCGTGGAGACGGTGAGGAGGACCGGCTTCATGAGGAGTACCGACAGGCGCGGAAAACTCTGAAGCTGGCCATTAGCCGCGCCAAAGAAGAAAAGAGAGAGGAGATGCTGGAGGGTCTTAATCGTGACCCCTGGGGTCGCCCTTACCGCGCGGCGCGACAAAAGCTCCGCGCGTCGGCCCCGCCCCTTACGGAGACTCTCCAGCCCAGCTTCCTGCGAGAAGTTGTTGAGGGCCTTTTCCCGCAACGAGCGGAACACACTCCCCCGGCGATGGCCTTCTTGGCCGGAGACGACGGGGAGCACGAGGAGGATGATGTTCCGCCCGTCCGGGATTCGGAGGTAGGGGCGGCTGTTCTAAGGATCCGTTCCAAGAACACCGCCCCTGGGCCAGACGGGGTACCGGCCCGAGTGCTGGCCCTGGCCCTCAACCACATGGCAGACCGCCTCGGGGAGGTGTTCGACGGTAGCTTGGCGTCAGGACGTTTCCCTGAGTGCTGGAAGAGCGGGAAGCTGGTCCTATTAAGGAAGCCGGGACGGCCTGCCGATTCGGTCGCGGCCTATAGGCCCATCGTGCTGCTGGACGAGGCGGGTAAATTGTTTGAGAGGGTTCTTTCTGCCCGCATCGTCCGGCACCTCTACGAGGTGGGCCCCGATCTGTCGGACGCCCAATTTGGTTTTCGGGCGGGGCGTTCGACAGTCGACGCCGTGTTGCGCCTGAGGGCCGTGACCGAAGAGGCCGTGAGCTGTGGCGGCGTGCTGTTGGCGGTGTCATTAGACATCGCCACCGCATTCAATAGTCTGCCATTCAGCTGCATCAGGGAAGCACACCACTATCATGGGGTGCCAAAGTACCTGAGGCGGCTAGTGGCAGACTATTTAGAGGAGCGTACCGTCGTGTACGAGGACCGAGAGGGTAATTTGAGGTGTCGGCCCATGTCGTGCGGTGTTCCACAGGGGTCTGTTCTTGGACCCCTCTTGTGGAACATAGGGTACGACTGGGCCCTTCGCGCCGATTTCCCCCCCGGGCTGGGTGTAATCTGTTACGCAGACGATACCCTGGTGACAGCCCGGGGGGCAAACTTCCAAGAGGCGGCGCGCCTGGCCACAGGGGGAGTCTCCCTGGTGGTCGGGCGCATTGAGGCGCTGGGCTTACGGGTGGCCCTAGATAAGACGGAGGCCCTGTTATTTCATGGGCCCCGTCGTGGTCCACCCCCTGGCGCCTCAATCGTGGTCAACTCGGTCCTCGTACCGGTTCGGGCCCAGATGAAATATCTGGGCCTGATCCTCGACGGGAGGTGGCTCTTCGACGAGCACTTCCGACAGCTTGCTCCAAAGCTGGTCGGCGCTGCGTCTGCCCTAGGGCGACTTTTGCCCAATTTGGGTGGACCCAGCGTCGCGACAAGACGGCTGTACACGGGGGTTGTCCGGTCAATGGCACTGTACGGTGCACCGGTGTGGGCGGCGGCTCTGACCGCCCAGAATAGGGTACGCCTCTGGCGCCCTCAGAGGGTAATGGCGGTCAGAGCCATACGCGGTTACCGCACCGTTTCGACGGAGGTGGCATGCGCGTTGGCCGGTACTCCCCCGTGGGATTTGGAGGCGGAAGTGCTCGCCGAAGTTTATCGGCGAGTGGCTGACTCCCGGGCGGAGAGCGGATTTCGCCCTCCGCCCGTGGATGTGCGCGAGTGGCGCGAAGCCGCTCGCCGAGCCACGATGGCTCGTTGGTCGTTCCGGCTGGAGACTCCACGCGCTGGCTTCGCCGCCGTGGAGGCTCTCCAGCCGGTCATCGCCGAGTGGGCAGGGCGGCAGCACGGGACCCTTTCCTTCCGGCTGACGCAGGTGCTTTCCGGGCACGGTTGCTTCGGAAAGTACCTGCACTCGGTCGCTAGGAGGGAACTGAGTCCCGCCTGCCACCACTGCGACTGCAGTGAGGACTCGGCCCAGCACACGCTAGCGGTCTGCCCCGCATGGGCGGCGCAGCGCCGGGCCCTCACTGCAGTCATCGGAGTGGATCTCTCGCTGCCGGCCGTAGTACGCTCCATGGCCGGTAGCGACAGTTGTTTTACGGCGGTCGCAACCTTCTGCGAGGTAGTAATCTTGCGGAAGGAGGCGGCGGAGAGGGCCCGGGAGGACGACCTCCACTCGGACCCGATCCGCCGCCGGCGAACCGGGCGGCGGAGGCCCGCCTATCACCGCTTCATGCCGCCCTGAGTGTGGCCGCGGGTGGACGGGGTGGGTTTCCCCTCCACCCGCATTAGTTTGGCCAGCCGCGAGGGGCGAGGGGCGAGCGGGCTGGCGCTAGGAGGGGTCCGGATATCTTAACAACAGCTGTTCCCGGATCCCTCCTGTTACAGGCGCAGAGTGGCACTCCGTGTGGTTTTAGTCGGTCCGAGTCCGACACACCACCCCGCCGCAAACCCCGGAGGGGTGACGGTCCGAGGGGATTTCCACACGTTAAAAAAAAAAAAAAAAAAGAAAAGTACCTTTATTACTTTCCATAAAACGGATTAATATTTTTTTTTACAATTTGTACAATACACAAAAAAATTTACCTTGATTTTTTTTGTGAATCGATACAAAAAATTTGAATCGCTTTCAAAATGTATCTTTTTCGGAAAGAATCGTCATCCTTGCTTAACTCCGGTCAGCCAGTGGCCTGTGTTGCTTTATGCATACAATCAAAATTCAACCACATAGCGATGTTTAGCAACAATAAATTTGTAAAAAGCCTTCATTAATGTATTTTTTCTAAGACATCTGACTGAAATAAATATATTTTAATAATATGGACTCAATTTTCCACTCCTTCAACAATTTGGGAAATTTTCTGTTCATGAGTTAGTTAGAGTCTATTATCCTCCCAGAATAACAATGTACTCTGTGGTCACCACTTGTGGTTATGACTTATGGTGTCTAACTGTTGTTATGTCATTTGGTGTCATTTACCCCAACCGGTGCTTGATAATATCGTGTTGAAAAAAAACGAATACACTGAATCAGTTAAAGGATACACAGAATATATTTTTGTTATTTTTCAAACCGAGACCATCTGTATTATTATAAAGCAGGTGATATTTTCGGTAATTTGGAATATATGCAAAGTCATCTAAATTTATTTTGACTTCAAATGTAAATAAACAAACGAGTTGGCTCCTTTCTACATAGGATTTTTAAGTTTTTATAACTAAACCAAACTATTTCCAGGCTTGCAAATCACGGTTGCAGTTGGTCAAGATTGTACGCTCCTTAGAAACAAACTTTTTTGTACTTACTTTGATAAGAAGAGGTGAGTAGGATTTTCTTTACCCGTGTTTCGAGTTTGATGTACTCAAACAAACTTACAATTACTTAATGTTCATTTTTCATCTTAATTTTATACAGAATTAAAAAGGGAGGTCAATATTAAAAATTACAGTGCTAATAACTAGTGTATGTTATGCAAAATTTGTTGTACCTAGTCAAAGTTGGTCTAATTTAAACTTGAAAATTAAGATATCTAAAATACAGTTTTACTAGATCTATTTATTTCAAAATAAGCACATGAAATGATGAAAATTCTGTTTAATTATTCTTTTCTTTTTACTAAAAGAAAAGAATAATAAAAGTTGAGAAAGTTTCGCTATTAATAGAACAATTTAGTCTAAATGTAGATTTAAAAGAAATAAGATGGAAGAATAAATATTGGATAATTACACCATTTTACGTAAATTATTTAGTTAGCTTTATCCTTAGTTACATAAATTTTAATATCAATTGATTCAACTTTTTTCTTATGGGTTATGGTCTTATGGTACCATGCCACACTTCCATGTGGCATACTGGTTGCAGTGATTAGAAATGAGGAATAAAACTGATTTTAAAATTAGATAATAACAATCTCTGACTGCATGGATATCATAGTGGTTTAAGCGGTCGCCACGCTGTGGATCCAATCTCCACATGCGACAACACTGTGTGATCCACAAATTGTTGTTCTGAGTCTTCCTGGTGTCCATTCCATATATTCCTAATGCGGGAGTTGACTTTCGTTAAAAAAAAACACTTTAAAGCAGATTGTATATCATGTCAAAATTTCTATTTGTCTGTCTATTTATCTAATTACAAGCTGTTGCGTTTTGTCGCTGTTCTATGTCCGAGCTAAAATTATGGAACCCTAAAAATGCGTTATTATATTACCATCGTAGATGGACATATCAAAACATAAGATAAACCCCAGAAAGTGTGTAAAACTTGATATTACGATTTGTCAACTATATACTCACTCATCTGAAGTGAGATATAAAACAAGAATATGTAATGCTGTAATGACATAAAATTAAGATAGTATGCTTTCTTGCTTATCTGATAAAACTAATAGACATCAGTAATGTAAATTAACAGAGTACAAATTTAGAAGTGGTTTTACCCATGCACACATTCATATTATTATACTACTTATTCCACACTTCTGAGAGGGATGGATGGATGGATATGTTGATGGATGTTTAATACTTTACTACAAAAAGTTGAGATCGAAAGTTGATCGGAACTGAATTGAGACCGAACTTTTATTACGAGAATTGGCCTTCAGCCATAAAAACATTAAAACTTAGTAATTAGAGTGTACTATATGTTAAACAGGGTCACTAACGTGACCAGACACTGACAAGCAAATAGTGTAGGTATTAAATGTATTTTATGATAAACTTGACACTGATAAATATTTATTACAGATAGTACCGCATTTGTTAGCACCGTGAACGTTTGTTATGTTGAAAATGTCCTCCCAGGTAAGTGTAAAATTTATAATACATTGTTTTAAAATGTAAATAGATTTTTGTTACTTTTTCGACTTCAAAAAGAAGGAGGTTATCAATTCGGATGGTTTTTCTTAGGTAAGTTCTGGCATAACTCTGTCATATCGTCGCTATATGCTGGGTTTAATTTTTTTTTATTATTTAGGGTTATTCCGAAAAGGCCCCATTTAAATTTCAAATGCTTTCATATATCATCAGATCTAAATCTGATGATGAGTATCGTAGACGAACAACGGAACTCTTCAAAAATGACAGCATTTCAACCGCGACTGCTGCTAAGTTTTTAGTGCTCTTTGTTAGTATTCTTTGAAGTCGGTTCAACTTTTTTTAAATTATTTTATTTTACATGCTTACAAATAGTCAATTCCTGTTTCGAAATAATTATGTTTATTTACCTATTAAAAAGGTTATACATACAGATATTCCCACCTTAGTCAAGAATGGGCAGGGCAGAGGCGTATTAATAATCTTAGTCCCACATCTTGTCAGGTACAATTTTAGTCCCATACGACATTGTGTTGGTCGGTGAAGACCTCATGTCTAGAGTAGACTGGAAAAATGGCAATAAAGGCTGGGGAATGTTGGCTTGAAAATCGGCAGAACTAAAACCGAGAGTACGTGTTCTGTGATTTCGGCAAGTTTCCATGGGTATTCACCGTCACGTCGTGAGTCATATACCATAAAAAAAGGAGAATCGTCAAGTGTTTATAAATTGTGTTTCATTTGCAGTTAGACAACATCATAAGCGCTTACAAGACATTGGCAAAAATACCATCAGTTGCTGGTGGGAAATTAAACAACGTTGGAAGGAAAGTAACAGCAACATGGTCGGTGAGGAACCTCGATAAAGGGAAGAATACCAAGTATGTGTCTTCATATCTTCTGGATGATAGCTTGAGCGTCGTCGCCGAGAATGATTTCGGAATCGACGTTAGCAATGAGTAAGTATTATATAGACTTCTGAACGATGGCTTGCGCATGCGTAATGCAGTGCATTTTTTTTAAATTGAATTAGGCGCCAAACATATCGATGTATTTGCTTAACACGGGTTAACACATACACAGTTTCATTTCGATATGATACACACAAAGTTGAAGATAACTTCTAAAATTTGTTTAGATAGTTAAAAGCATGTATAAAAATCCATACTTTTTATTAAAAACGTGAAAGTGAGTTTGTTTGTAACGCTTTCAAGCATTAACCACTAAACCGATTTAAAAAATTCTTTCACCAATGGAAATTTTATTTGGTCCATTTCTAAAAGGCACGCTTACAGATTACTGCCATTACCTGTTACTGGAAACGTCAGGAGATAGGTACATATTAAGTCTGATTAAGTGAATGTTATAGCGAGTAACATAGGCACCTTGTTACCGCGATAATCGACATACCGACCTACCGACCGTCCGTGTGGTGACGGATTAAGAATACAAATTGTCACCACCCCAATTCATCCCGTGGGTGTCGTAAGAGCCGACTAAGGGAGCAAACTAAGCAGGACAACAGCACTGCAAAGAGAAGGAAAACTTGAAACAAACCCTATACCAACCCGTCTGGCCAGCGTGGTATAGTAGGCCAAAACCTCCTTTCTAAGGAGAGGCCTATGTCCAGCAGTGGACTAGTATAGGCTGTTGATATGAACCGACATACATAAAAAGCTGATATATATAGTTTAGTTACTTTTTAAATTTCGTGGCTGTAATCAAATTTATGCAAAAATTCATGATGTCGCTTGAGTAGCTAAGGACATGGTAACAATAGTCCGATGATAATGTTTAAAGGTGAATAGTGTATTACTTTTTTAATCTTTATTGAACTCCATTGACTTTTACTAAACTATAACTATCAAGACCAAGTAATATCGATCACAAAACTCGTATAACCACGACCTAATTGGCCTTAGTTAGTGTTGTAATACATTGTTCTCATACATTGTATTTTTCAGAGTGCTGTCAGCCGTATCTCCTCGAGAGACGTTCAAGGCGTTGATAAGGGAGGAGAAAAATGGCAAGGATGCCAAAAAACAGTATCTCGAAGTATGGAGTAAAAATACTTTAGCGCACAGCGTGGATCTCACTGCATTGGACATTCATGGAGATGTTTACGCCGACGGTGAGTGTCATATTATTCTTTTTAATTCCAGACGCTAAAAAGAGACGGATTAAGAATATAGAGTGTCACCACCCCTATTCATCCCGTGGGTGTCGTAAGAGCCGACTAAGGGATAAAACTAACGCATAACAACAGCACTGCAGAGAGAAGGAAAACTTGACACAAACCCTATACCAACCCGTTTGGCCAGCGTGGTATAGTAGGCCAAAACCTCTCTAAGGAGAGGCCTATGTCCAGCAGTGGACTCTTAAAGGATGAAAAAGAGACGGGTTTCGATTTGATTTAATCTTCTAGCTAACCGTGCAATCAAAGAAAGAATATTTGTATTAAACCCTTGATCAGTTAAAAATTATTTAATTTATAACAATAATAACTTAACATACGGCGGCCTACTCCTAAACAAGGCAGACTCTGTGCCATAGTTACCAGACTGCTGTTTAATATACTTACATGTTTCTAAGGACATGCATACATATCCATACTAATATTATAAATCCGAAAGTGTGTCTGTCTGTCTGTCTGTCTGTTACCTCTTCACGCTTAAACCGCTGAACCGATTTAGATTCAATTTGGTATGGAGATACTTTGATTCTTCAGGAAAGACATTGGCTATTTTGTACGCGGGCGGAGTCACGGCAAAAGCTAGTTATAGATATATTACACCCAGACAGTAAATAATCGTGATGTGAACCAAATCACAATTCGGGCTTAGCAGTTAACTAACCAAAATTCAAATCGGTTTTTCCTTTAAAGAGGTAGCTTGCTCAGCACGTTAAGCGGTCACCTCGCCTCTTCCTACTAAGCTAAGTGTTGTGGGTTCGTTACATACATGGGACAACAGTTTTTGTGATTTGCAAAATGCTGTTCCGAGTCTTGGTCTTCTTTGTGTCCGTTTCATGAATGTTCGTAAAGTCCCCCGCTACACAGGATATAATCCTATTGCAGAGGTTTTCTGTTTCAAGAAACAAATGAATTAGAAATAAAACTTTTAGCAGTCTGTATAAAACACATATTTTTTCTGCATGTTTTTTTTTTTCGTTTTTTTTTATTTTATACTTGCCGTGGGAGAACCATGCTTCGGCACGTAAGGCCGAGGCTCGATCGGAGTGATCCTACAACCTCATAAATTCATTGCTTTCACCGAGTGAGTGTGGTTACTGGAGCCTAAGCCCACCCCATTCCTCTGACTTTGGGAGGAGGGACTGACAAGGCGGCAATGCACTTGTGACTCTTGAGTTACAAGTGCCATGGATGGCGGTAGTCACTTTCCATGAGGTGACTCGTCTACCCGTTTGTCATCTACACTATTTTATAACAGGTGAATTCGGCTGCCTTGACTGGTCGCATGACGAGACATCCCTGGTGTATGTAGCGGAAAAGAAGTTGCCAAAATCGGAACCATATATCAAAAGGAAATCCGATGATAAACCAAAGACAGATGGCAGCGGAGAAACTGCTCCTAAAAAGGTACTTTTATACAAATCTGACAGTTCGACAGTTCAGTTTTACCCACCATTAAAGCAACAGTTCTGGTCCTAATTGGGGGAGCTATGCTTCGGGATATGGGCCGGCTCGACTATAGTGATGCCAAGGTCTATCAGAAAACCTTTCCGTGAATCATCTTTCAATAATAATAATAATAATAACTTCACACATCTAACACACGGCAGTCTGATCCCAAACTAGGCAGAGCCTGTACTATGGTAACAAGACTGCTGATAAACATACTTATTAATTTCTAAATACATACATATCTATACTAATATTATAAAGCTGAAGAGTTTGTTTGTTTGTTTGAACGCGCTAATCTCAGGAATTACTGGTCCGATTTGAAAAATTCTTTCAGTGTTAGATAGCCCATTTATCGAGGAAGGCTATAGGCTATATATCATCACGCTATAGGAGCGGAGCACCAATGAAGAATGTTTCAAAAACGGAGAAAATTTATTACGAGAGACGCAGACGAAGTTGCGCGGGTCAGCTAGTTATAGATAAATGACACCCAGACACAGAACAAATGATCGTGCTCATCACGCAAATATTTGTCCCAGGTGGGATTCGAACCCACGACCTCTGGCTTAGCAGTCAGGGTCACTAACCACTAGAGCAACAGGCCCGTCAAAGCCCGTGAGCCGACCAGAGTTTTGGCTCACTCTCATCGCGACGGAAGGTTTCGGACTACGGTTGCCCCACTCACTCGATGAACACTGTTTTCTGTGAGTCCGTCGTGTCACGCCGCCCGCCGCCCGCGCCGGTCCGTATTTAAATATTGATTCCGCACTTATTCTTTATATGTGCCTAAATAAAAAGGTATGTGTAGAAAAGCTATAGTTTTCTATCTTTAATATATGTTTATTTTTTTAGGGTGAAGAGTTCCGTTACAGGCAGGAATGGGGGGAACAGCTGGTGGGCAAACACCTCTCAGTAATTGTTGTGTGCAAACTGCCTACTGAGACGTTTACTGTGCTGCAAGGACTGCCGGAGTCATGGTGTCCTGGACAGGTATGTAACTGTCGAGGGAAAGATGTTATGTCCCTCAAACCTGAAAGGAGTGTCCTTCCACCAAGTTAGGGTATCAAACCAGGCAAATCACGACCTGACGGTAGTAGTTGAATTTCACTAATCGGTGCGAGAAATTTCATTGCGTGATACAGGATAAATAGTTACTTGGTTCGGCTTGTCGTCGCTAGATGGCACTGAAATATGTATTGTATAAAATTATACAAAATATTTGACTGCACGGATGGCGTAGTGGTTTAAGCGGTCGCCACGCCGCTTCCTACTGCCCCGAGTGTTATGGGTTCAAACCCCACATGAGACGACACTTTGTGTGATCCACAAATTGTTGTTCTGAGTCTGGGTGTACTTTGTGTCCGTTTCATGTATGTGTGTAAAGTCCCCCGCGACACAGGATTTATTCCTAGTGCGGGAGTTGTCTTTTTAAAACAATAAAACAACAACAACAATATCGCCAAAAAACTTAGTTACAGTTTAGCAGTATTGTATAATCATAATATCAGCATCGTAAACAAATTGGACTGTCGCTTGAGGAACTTAAGAGATAGAAGAACCAAACGTAGTGTTACCATATGCGATAATTTGCAATAACTCTTACGATCATTTGGTTTTATTTTGGGGACCTACTTGTCTATAAATTTAGGTAAAGCTATTGAGTTTATAATAGAAATATACCTAAATATATTAGGTCCGTTTCTCTCCCGATGGCAGTGATGTGGTGGGCGTGGCTTGGGAAACAGAACCGCGCCGACTCGGACTTATATTCTGCACCAACAGGCCCAGCTGGATATTCAGTCTTTCACTGGAAGGAAATATGAGTAAGAACATTTATTTTTAATAAATTTATATTCTCCTTCAGTTGGTGTATGTACATTGTAGGCCGTCATTGTAGGCCGTCTTCGTTTTCTCTTGCTTTCTATTTTTTCTTCCAGTATTATTTTAAAGAAGTTGTCGTGTCTGATCAAGTGGCCAACCATTTTGCCTCTTCTGTTTTCAATAGCATTCAACGAATACCTCTCTTCATTTATTATTGACAAGGGGTTGGCTCTTAAATTGAGAGAGAGTGAGAGTATATTCAATTTTATTTAAAACTAGCTGCCACGACAGACTTAATTCTGTCAAAAGTTATTGGCCTGTCGCAGTCCCATTCTCCGACCGAGTTCTTCGAACCAAATGGCTATGCCTACGTCTTATAGGCGGCATGAGTCTTAACACACTGAACAAAAACCTACAATTGGTTTTTGAGACTTTAAAAATAACCAAGAAAATGCTCCGTACAGAGGAAGTAATGATGACACCTACATCAGTAATATTATTTTATTTGATGACACCCAAACCCTTTTTTTCTACGAACTTTATTTTCGGCAGGTATAGATTAATATCCATACAGCCTAATTAATTTTGAGGCATACCACAGATAATCCTAATACGTCTTTATTTTGTTTTGATTCATGTCGAATGTTCGATAGCTACAGTCAGGTGTTTTCATTTACTCTGTGGTTTGTATGGGATAAGAAAATTGTTTTTTTTTTACTATTTTCCTCGCAATTTTTACTTATTTTTCTCCATAAGACCCTTCCTTGTGCTTTTACGAAAATATGAAAAAAGATGAAAGATCGAAGCGTTCTCGAGTTTTACGCTTATGCTTATCTGCGCTTGTATGTGGGCTATCGCACCACAAAAAAAGTAGGCTATCTCCTTTCTTAAGAATCACACTATCTCCAAAATTTCATCTGAATCAGTTGCGCGGTTATTGATGCCCCATACAAACTTTAACCACCCCTTTTCATCCCCTTAAAGGATGATTTCTTCGATGAAAACTATTTTATATCCTTTCTCGGGACTTAAACTATCTTTATACCAAATTTCATCTAAATTGGTTCAGCGGTTTAAGGGTGAAGAGGTAACAGACAGACAGATAGACAGACAGACAGACAGATAGATAGACAGACAGACAGACAGATAGATAGACAGACAGACAGACAGACAGCCACACTTTCGCATTTATAATATTAGTATGGATTAGTATGGATAGAAAAAAGTTTTGAGTTTTGGAATAATGTCTGAAATAGGTTTTTAACTAATTATTTCATTACATTTTTTTAGGAAAGCTGAGTGCAGATGGATTGGCAGTTCGTTCCCCTCGATACAGTCCACTTGGCGATCTTGTGTGGCTCCAGCGCCAAGCAGGTGGCCCTCATCACGCTTGTCACCAACTTGTCACCATTAAGAAAGGATCTGTAAGTATGTTTTCGTGAGTAAATATGTAAATTAAAGTAAAGCTAGTTTTTCTGCTGAATAGAAGAATTGCCCGAGCTCTGTTGTACAAGTAGCAGCGCTGGGTTCAAACCCAGTCCTTACAAAATCTTTTTTTTGTCATTATATAGGGAGCGTGTGGTGACGTATTAAGAATACGGAGTGTCACCACCCCTATTTATCCCATGGGTGCCGTAAACGCCGACTAAGGACGCAGGACAACAGCACTGCCAAGGGAAGGAAATCTTGAAAGAAACCCTATACCAACCCGTACGGGTAGCGTGGTATAGTAGGCCAAAACCTCCTTTCTGAGGAGAAGCCTATTGCCAGCAGTGGACTACTAAAGTCTGTTGATGATGATGAAAATTTGCTCCTCTCTTGGTAGAAAAGAACTTAACTGACGATATTGTTTTAGACTGAAGTAACAACAATAATAAACATAGTTCAAACCGAAGTGACAATCGACGGTGGACAAAAGTTCTATGGGTTGTATGGTCAGTCGTTGCCCAGCAAATGTTTCAGTGCAGACGGCGCCAGAATCATTTTCTCAACGCCACAGAAGACCGAAGTGAGAAGCTATGCTGTTCATATTGGTATGCGTTTTAATATCAATTATTTTATTTTACATTTGATTGTGTGATGTATTCCACATACAGTGAAACATACTAAAGCGCCATCTAACGAAGAAACACCGAACTACGGCGTAACTGCTAATCCTGTATCGCGATATAAATAATACTCACGCCGATTAGCATATATATAACTTCCTAACATCAACCGTTGGACCGCGACACGCCAGGTATGATCACTTCGCCTGGTCGGAGGTTCCTCCCTTTGTGTTGAAGGGACATGACACCCGTTGCTCCACAGAGTGCATAAGGTGGACTTAAAGCCTTTTTTTTATGACATAGCAGAAGGTAAATTTGGATGAAAAAAGTGGATAGGGCGAGGAAGATAGGCTAAAAATTACCTCAATCCTTGGGTGGGAAACCAGACTAAGACTTCAGTAACTGCATCAAGGCGGAGTCTCGGACCTGGATGTACATCCTATGATTGTATACGCCAGTAGGATCAATAGTAATGTCTCCGTATTCCCTGCAGATACCGGTAAAATAGCTGACATATCGAACAAAAGTGCTCCGGGTTCAACCAGCATTCTGGATGTGAAGTCAGACGTTATACTAGCTGCTTGCTCTAACCTGACTACTCCTGGACAGGTAAGACCAAAAAACTCTATAAGATTCTATAATCTTATAGAGTTTTGCAAATAGTCTATACTAAAGACGATGGATTTGCAGAAGGATCAATACCCCAAAAACTCTGGAAAACAAATTGGAGGCAGTCAAAGGGCCGTCAATTGGTTTAAAGAGGACAAACGAGCAGACAGGTAACCTGATGGTAAGTAACCACCATCGGTCATGGACATCTGTAAGAGTTACAAATACATTGCGCCCTTTGACGGACCTGTTGGTCTAATGGTTAGTGATCCTGACTGTTAAGCTGGTGGTCGTGGGTTCGATTCCCACCCAGGGCAAATAATTGTGTGCTGTGCACAGCAGTCTGATTACCATAGCATATGCTCTGCCTAGTTTGGAATCAGACAATACAAAACACACACGGCGTGTGTAATGTGTGAAGTTATTTTATTATTATTATTATTTGAGAGCAACCCTCCCTCCTCTTAGAATCACGGGGGGGGGGGGGGGGGTATAATTTGGGCTCCAGTAACCATACTCACTCGGTAAAAACCAACTAAATAATTTTTCGTTTGTGATATCACTTTTACCACAAGTGATTTGCAGCAGTCCGATGTCTATAATGACCTCATAGACGAATGGCAACAACGTTGGGATGAATCATCCAAGGGGCGCCATCTTTACCAATTCTTTCCATCTGTTCGCGAACGGTTGTCGAGGACATGGCTTGAGGTGGATCACTGTGTCGCTCAATTTCTTACGGGTCATGGTAACTTTAAGAGCAAGCTTTATTCATTTAAATTAGTCGAGTCACCTATGTGTCAATGCTCAACACCTAACTCTCACTATGAACAGTCTGCTCATCATATCCTCTGGGAATGTAGTCTTTGGTATAATGAACGTAATATAATGCTGAATACCTTGCAGGTGACATCTGGGGCGGTATACTATGGGGATCTTCTGTCAACTAGGGTGAATTTCCGTGCGTTTAGGCGATTCTGCCATACATATTATAGAAATAAAATATATCTCACGTAGGACCCGTAATATTTCGTGGCCGTGGTGCTTCCCTGTTTAAAAGGGTGTATGCCCATTTTACTTCATTTTGTCTCCCGCTTTGCTAAGGAGGGAAGTGGATTTACTGTATTTCCAACTCCTCCAATTTTCTTCTGATTAATTTCGTTGCGGGTTCCAAGACAGTTTAATTTCTTCCTGGGACTTCCCGAGTGTCATAACTCGGTGTGTTCGTGGCTGCTGTGGTCACTGCTGTGGATCCTGGTGTACAGGAGTTACAGTGGTGGGCGTGTGGGCGGGATTAGTCCCATAAAAAAAAAGTGATTTTTAAACACTTGTGAGAAGGGCTTAATTAACGCTAAACGCTACAACACCATAATGTGTTTAAATTGCCAGATAAACATAGCCAAATTGCCTGCGGCAAACAGCGAAGCAAACATTAAATGGGTGCGCGTGAGCAATCCTAGTGAGGTACCCGCGTGTGTCGTCGGTTCTACTGTGGAATACTTGGACCTTGAACATTCAGACTCTAAGGATACTATTAGTAAGTATACTGTGTAGTTTACCCCTGTAAAAGACATAAAGGGTTCATTAAACTGTGCTGCAAAAAAATTACACCATGTATCAGACATATTCTTTATTTAAAAAAAAATGTCCCTCGGGTATAATACTATGCAAGGATTTTATAAGTACGTGCTTATTATTTTATGTGATGGGGCAGAGGGCGTCCACAGTTATTCTTCATCGCGTTTGGTCTTTAGCTCCGCACTTGACCTCATTCCACGTCTTGACGATTCTCTTCACCTTATCTGCGACAGTGTTGCCAGAGTTGCGTTGAGCGGCCGGTGGACTCTGTTTTTGACATTGATATGATTGGGGTTGATATATATGATTATATATGTTATAAAACTCAATACAAATCATAAATCTGTTCAGATCTTTAGACGTTATAGTGAATAATAAAATGCCATAAAGTGCAAACCCACGTTACAAAGTATAAATATTGTGAAAAATTTAATGTCAACTTGGGCAGTTTTTAATGCATTACTTTGTTCATACCTTTTATCTTTAAGATCTTAAAAGATCGATACTCGTAACTTGTTCTATATTTTTTATTTATCAATAATTATGAACCATAATCATAAAAGCTGTGTTTTCCTTTTCAGAATCATTTAATGCAATATATTTCGCTCCAAAGGCGGAGGGTAAAAAGTTACCCTTAATAGTATGGCCCCACGGAGGTCCACACACAAACTTTGTTAACGCCTTCATGTTGGAACCTGCACTTTTCAATATGCTTGGTGAGTGAACTAATTTGAAATTGATTGAAAAAAGCTAAAAGAAATAACCATTACCAGTTCACTGTGATTTTAACCCATATCTAAGTCCATTACCATCTGACTGCAAACGTCAATTAATGCAATACGTCATTAACCGATAAACAAACTGATAGCTGTCAGTTGGTGTCATGTCATAGAGAACTGCCAGTTGATTGGTTACAGACGTAATTAAATATTAAAAATAAAATATTTTTAGATAGCACTTACCACTACAATAAAAGCAGTACTTTTCTTATCCATAGCCAAATTTTGGGTAATACTGTTGTCTATGATTGTATTTAGTCGCGAGACTTTCTGTGTAGTATTTGCCTCACACTTGGTGACGATGTGTAATGTGTGTACATAAATAAGTATTAAGTATTCATGAATATTTTTACTAACTAATACATGGTATTGTATTTATAATACTATCCAAGAACTGCACTTCAGGAATCATTTTTAAATGTGCTATCAGACCTGTTTCGTAACTGATCGATCAAGATTGGATGTAGTGTTGGGTTCGATTCCCAAATCTGCTAGCAAATTATTTTTATAAAGAAATCTTAGCGTAAGCGAATTACTATCAAGTGTTTGTGGGTTAGAACCCCACTCAGTGCACTACCAACGTGAATATTTAGGTTACCCATGGTACGGGATTTTTTGAAAAAACTTTTTTTTTTGAGAATCATGAATTAAGCTAATCGGACTCTAAATAGTATACATATTCTAAAATACATAACATTGTGTACAAAGAATATTAAAATGAGTAACTTTTAATAGTGTGGGTAGTCAGAAACAAAACTACTTTACAGGTTTTGTGATAGTACTAATCAACTATCGAGGCTCAACCGGCGCGGGCGACGCCTCTCTCAAATGCCTTTTAAAAACTATTGGAGATTATGACGTCAAAGATTGTAAGCTCGCCACGGATGAGGTTGTGAGATCTCGTCCCATTGATTCGAAAAAAGTAGCCCTGACAGGCGGTTCCCATGGAGGGTTTTTGGTCACCCACCTAAGTGGACAGTACCCTGACACGTATAGCGCGGTGGTGACGAGGAATCCTGTGACTGATGTTGCTACTATGTTTAATTCTACTGATATAGCTGACTGGTGAGTTTGCATTGTGTTGAATGTTGAATCTATATACTTATATTACAAAACTGAAGAGTTTGTTTGTGTTGGTTGAACGCGCTAATCTCAGGAACTACTGGTTCCAATTGAAAAAACTTTTAGTTTTGGATAGCCTATCTATCGAAGGAAGGCTGTAGCCTACATAACATCATGCTACGACGAATAGGAGCTGGATATCAATACAAAATGTTGCACAAACGAGGAAAATTAAATTCTTGTCTGGGTACAGCTAGCTATGTATATTATCTTAGTGCCGGTGTTGTTTTTCTAAAACATGAAATGTGGAAATTATTTCGGGGACATAAAAAACAATTTGGGGTAACCATTGTGAATTAATTGTAAGTTGAACTAGTGTTGCTGTTTTATTATTGCATCTTGTATTTATTGGCTAAGAACAGAACTTAAGTTAATGGAATATGGAAGGTCCTTAACAAATTCATCACCCATCGCGAGTTAATAATTAAAAGAAGTAATAGTTTAATCTCTTAAAATCAAAAAAACCTAGAAAGTACGGTCTCCATTCGGTTCCGATCAATTTTCGATCTCACAATGGTCATAAAAGGTAGTTTTGTTGTAAAGTATTAAACATTCAACGTTAACTGTAATGTGAATATATCGTATTGTAACCGAAAATTGAATCGGTAATCTGCTAGTCTTAGTAATACTTTACTATTTTGCTGCGAAAATACCTTTTATGACAGTAGTAGTAGTAGTAGTGACTATTGGTTATTTTTGTTGTCGAAGGTCAGGATGGCTATTGACATGCTGACGCGTTGTCATGGCATGGATCGGGACGTTACGTCGTCTATCCACGTTTTGCACACATAGTTTTATTACTATTTTTTTTGACGTGACAACGTGTAATAATTCGATGGAGCCGGCTGCACGCACGAAAAAACATGACTCATGCGGCGTTACCTCGCTCTGAGGCGTTCCATTTAAGGTTTGAAGTGCAAGCGAGAGCGCGGAACGAGCGACAAAGAGGCACAATCGGCCTCCGCGTTCGGCAGCGTTCGACATCTGTCTCTCTCCTACTTGAGTGAGCGATGCGTCCGCGTGGACAGCTGCTATACAATAATACATTTACATGTTTTCGTCAAGTATGAAGTGCAGTGAAAAGTGAATGTGGTGTCTTATGACGTTGTCACGTTCAACTATCGTCAGTAAACCGACTTTACAGACAGCCGATTTTTTTTCTAGTTATCTTTTATACTACAAAATAGTTTCGATGTTTCACATCTGCCAGCCGTCCCGTCACGGCCCAATTTTTTTTCTAATCTAATTAAATTAGAGGGTAGACCTGTAAAAAAAATAATATTTATGTTTTGTTTCTGTCTACTTACTTATTGCAACATAAAATTATATAGTAGTTTATTAAATACTAACACAAATATAGATAATGGGTTGTTTATAAGTCTCAGATGCCTCTGCCTATCCCGTAGGGATAAAAAAACCCGATACTAACATTAGAAATAAACGATATCTCAAATTACTAGGTTTCGCCACAATAAGAATAAACTACCGCGGTTCTACCGGCCAAGGAGACGCCCACGTACGCTCCTTGCTATCCCACGTAGGACATTATGACGTACAAGACTGTTGTCTTTCTCTAACCACATTGATAGAAAGAGACAGAAAATTAGCAGATAATGTTTTCCTGTATGGAAGAAGCTTTGGCGGTTTTGTCATTGGACATTTGGCGGGATTGTACCCTGATAGATTCAGAGCTATGGTTATGTCGAACCCCCTGATAGATCTGGCAACTAAAGGTCATTACGCTGACAATTCTGATGGGTAAGTTTTAACTTGTTCACTGATTGTTCTTCGATGACGTATGAGTGAAAGAGTATTTTTGGATGACGTAGAGTCCATTTCCGCAATTTGAATTTTAAATACTAGATATAAGGTTTAGTTTATCTTTTTATGGTAAATTTAGGAATATTTAAAAACAAACGTAATAAAATCTTGCAGGTGTAAATAATTATCGAAGGAGAATCGCTTTTTGTCTTAATTTAAACCTCAAAGACCTTGGGAGAGCCATGCTTCGGCACGTATGGACAGGTTCGACCCAAGTGATAGTACGACCTCGCATAAACCCGACGTTAAGCAATTTTTTCGTTTCAATTTATCAAAAGAGTAAAGTTAGCAGAGGTCCAACACGGCCCCTTCCTATCATTCTAGAGTCAGAGGCCCTCAAAAGCTGGTAAATTACTTGTGTCTCTTAGAGTTGCAGGTGTACATGGGTTGCGGTAGTCACTTACCGTCAGGTGACCCGTCTGCCCCCTTTACCATTTTTTTACATATCATATGATAGTCGTTTTCGCTGTATTGGTTCTGTTCTTAGCCAATGTTTACAAGGTCTTTTTAATCGAGTTAAAATGGCTTTATCAAATTCCTCTATTTATTTTTTTGTGTCTTTTAACTTAATATTAGATATCACGCTTTAGCTGATCAAGTTTTTAAAGTGTACAGAAAAAGACGTAGTGTACCGAAATAACTTCTGTTTCCAAGGGTTAGATATACAACTTAACATGAGCGAAGTTTGAGGTTAAAACTAGTGTATTATGATGCTTAAATGTTCAGAGAGTCGGTTCCGTGTTCCAATATACAAATGAAATAATATTTTTTCATACATCATCATTATCAATAGCCTTTAATAGTCTACTGTTAGACATAGGCCTCGCCTTAGAAAGTTTCATATTTACTCGCGTACGATGTTATTTCTTTTTTCAAATTTTATGCCAATTTTTGAATTTTGAATAATATTAAGTTTAATTTATATATCTTCTTTTCTTGTTCAACTCCCGCACTAGTAATAAATCCTGTGTTGCGGGGGAATTTTCACACATACATCAAACGGACACAAAGGACACCCAATATATGAAGCATGTATATGAGCATAATGAATGAAATATAATATTATTAATACTAGGTGTGCCGTTGAAGCTGGTTACGAGTTCACAGAACAAGGCCCGGTATCAGAAGAGGCGTTAGTGGCTATGAGGCGCTGTTCACCCCTAGTCCACGTCCACAAAGTCCGCGCGCCCACCGCGCTGATGCTCGGCAGTGTGGACAAGCGGGTACCTCACTACCAAGGGCTGGAGTACGCCAGGAGACTTAAGGCAAACGGAGTTGCTACCAGGTATAATATATTGAAAAGTTAATTAAAAATCCGGAATAGATTCTTATGAAAAAAAAGTCCTTGATAATTTTAGGTTGTAAAGGCTCGAAGGACCAAAAAGTTAAGTTTCTGAAATATCTTTTTTTATAAAATGTCATTCATTTTGTTTGGTGACTTTTAGATTTACAAGTTTGTTTATTAGTCTTTGCGCTGAAATTACTTAGAACTTTTACATCTGTCCAGTTTCTTAATAATAATAGTAATTTTGGCAGTACTTTACAATTATTGGACTTCCATTTAATTAAATGGAAGTACAATAATTATAAAAAAAATATTTGTAACTTATTTAACTTATATTTATATTAGGTAACTTACAATTTTTTTTAAACTGAAACAGTTATTCATGGGCTACGCTCCCAAAATTAGGCTACACTTTTCGGTAGCTTTTGTATTTAGTATTTTGGAGAAACCCGACTACATAGTTTCATCATCGCCGTCGCTTCGTTTCTTGGTCATAGAACCCTGCCAGACCAGAATCTATACCCATATCTTTCTTTTTTTTTTCAGAATATACATGTACGATGACAACCATTCTTTGTCCTCCCTCCCTGCAGAGATGGACAACCTCATTAACGGTGCTCAGTGGATTATGCAGCATCTTCAATTATAGTATTTCTCATGTATCAATTTTATTGTCTACGAGACGTCTCACATATATACATATCTTACATAATAATGTAATCATATTTGACGTGATTTTTTACGATGATTATAACTACAACTTGAAATCGTGTTTTATTTTAACTCGCTTGTATTACCTTGGTATGAATGTGTCTGTAACGGAATTATCGAACGTGGTTGTGACATGCTTTAAACCATTCAATTAAATTGAAACTTCGCGCACTTATCAAGGACCGATGACAATACAATAATTTGAGAAATTTGGCCGATTGTAAAGGATCTACTTCATAAAGGCTTTTTTGACATCTAAAAATACGGTATGGGACTAATCCCACCCACACGCCCACCGCTGTAACTCCTGTACGCCAGGATCCACAGCAGTGACCCACGAACACACCGAGTTATGACACTCGGGAAGTCCCAGGAAGAAATTAAACTGTCTTGGAACCCGCAACGAAATTAATCAGAAGAAAATTGGAGGAGTTGGAAATACAGTAAATCCACTTCCCTCCTTAGCAAAGCGGGAGACAAAATGAAGTAAAATGGGCATACACCCTTTTAAACAGGGAAGCACCACGGCCACAAATATTACGGGTCCTACGTGAGCTATGTTTGATTTCTATAATATGTATGGCAGAATCGCCTAAACGCACGGAAATTCACCCTAACCAAAAATACGGTAGTGTCGTTTGCTACGTACTTGTTACTTTTTTGTCTTAATGAGAAAATATTATCATTAATGACTAAAAAAAATGGTTTTGTAACTGCCGAACTAAAAAGTAGAAAATAATTTTCCATAAGTTCAAAAAGAAAAATCATTTTATCGAATAAATTAAAGCTTTTCAAGATATTTTATAATTCATCATCATCATCAACAGCCTTTAACAGTCCACTGCTGGGCATAGGCCTCTCCTTAGAAAGGAGGTTTTAGCCTACTGTACCACGCTGGCCAGACGGGTTGGTATAGGATTTGTGTCAAGTTCTCCTTCTCTTTGGAGTGCTGTTGTCCTGCGTAGTTTGCTCCCTGCGTCGTCTCTTACGACGTGTGCGTTACCCCAGCAAAATAATGTCGAAAATGGTCATTTAAACTTTATAGATAATTAGTTGCTCCCCTTCTGTAATTGTTAAGCACATTTTTAAATTTGTTTCACTTAAACTTTTTTAGTTATTTCAAAAAACATTTCCTGCTGGGGTAACGTTTGAAACGTTACCGCAGCCAGACATTTTCTTTTTTAATTGTAATATTGAAATAAATTTTAGCTAAATAATTAGTTATCTGGACTAGGTAAATGTTACAACTTATTTGGTGTTTGTATTTTCTTCGGCTGCGAAGTTATTCGAAATCCTGCTGGAGTAACGTTTGTGGGTTTGCTGGATCTCTGAAACGGGTAAGCGGATTGTCACCATCTTTTGTACATAACTTCTTAAGGATTAGTTTTAATTTGTTCGATAATAAAATAACAAAAATAATGGACCGTTTAAAAATTATTTAGGTAAGTATGAAAACACTTCAATACGTCCTAACACTTTAAATAAGACCTCTAAAGACTTACTTGAAACGTTATTCTATTGCTTATAACTACCTTCAAATGTATACGAATTTTCGTAAGAATACTGTAAGTGACTAAAAAGTTATGATGAAATGTAGCTCTCCACGTTCACGATCACAATGTGTGCGGCCTTTTTTGGCCACCGATAAACCTGTGTGTGGATATATAAACTGAATGTTATGCCAATAATTAGTTGTTTAGTTCAGTTGTCTACCTGTAGAATTTCAGCGTCGTACATATAATAATTTACGAGATAATTAAATAAAAGTCATTAGATGGTGCAAGTTCGTGGTAATCCGACCATGTTTAGGTGGTTACAAAAAAGCGATCACCCAGTACATTGCGCTGTCTTTTAAAATGTTTAGTGTAATACACCTTACGATTTCGGTACAGTTGCGTACAGTGTTAAATACATTCAATATTTATTCATTATTATTACCTATTATTTATTTTGTTTTTTTCCCTAATTGATCTTAAGCACTAGTTTCTTTACTTAAAATTTATTTAGTCTTTTTTACTACCGGAGCTACAATCAACAGAAAATCTGCACTGGTCCGCTAAAATTATAAATATGTAGATACATGTATGAACGATTCACCTGACTGCAATAAAACGAAAATTTAAACCAATAAGTCGAAATCGTTTCATTTCTTTCATTTTTTTTGTAAAGAAATAACACTAAAGTAATTGTATTTTATTTTGGGGTGTATAGAGCTTGGACTTGAATGCATCAAAATATTTAAAGACAAGTCATCTACAATAAGTTAAAATAGACCGAATAGTAGAAGAATACAGTTGTAAATTAGAATGCATCAACATTGCATCGCCCAACAGTCGTATACCTCGTAAGAGTAGGTAATATTGTTCTGTGGTCTATACCTAGAACCGAAAATTATCTATACCTATGTACCTACCGTTAAGCGTTGAGCCCGTGACTGTTGATTTCTGTTAAAAACGAACAGTTGTTGAATGATATTTTGATATAATAACGGTAATTTAATTTATCGAGTGAAAGTGATACATTACAAGGGATACTTCATTGTTTGCAATTTGCATCTAGTGCACTAAACTTGACCCTTAGGCCGATAATATACGTGTTGTAAAGTACGTGTGCGCTTCCGCTTTCTATTTTTGCAAATATTTATCGTATTCTTGAGAGTTCTTCAATATGTGTGTACCTAATTACTAATAATAGGCATTAATGCTAATTCGATTCAATTTAAGTAATTGTCAATTCTTGTCTTAGGATATTAATTACTAATGCTAATATTGAAATTTCGTTCAGGGTGAACAAATTAAAAACGATCATAACTTTTATGTAGGTATATCACTTATTACTAATTTTACATAAATAATTTATTTTATTATAATTTAACTCACCGCGATTTTGTGATCAAATATTTTATTTTCTCCAACATTATTACAGAAATAATGCAATACAGAGTTTGTTCGGGATATGCTAGCCTAAGTCGATTCATCACTTAAAAAAATCCCTATCTATTCAGAAAATACCTATTTACAACGCATACGTTACACTCTTCAAAACTTATCATTTCATTTCATATTTCTTAAATTACCTATACCTACCCTAAAATTAAACTTCAATTAACAAATACTACGCAGGTACCAATTCTATGAACAACTATAAACAATTCACCTAAACATTACGAGAAAACAAAAACATTCAAAACAATACCTAATCTCCCGGCTGATTACTAATTATGCAATAAACAATCCTAAATAAAAATTATTTAAAAAACATGTAGTTTTTTGTAACACTTATGTACATATCCGTAGTAAACTGGCAAATAATATCCTACATATTTTAAAAGCCAGCACAATGTACTGGGTGATCGCTTTTTTGTAACCACCTAAACATGGTCGGGTTACCACGGTCTTGCACCTTCTAATGACTTTTATTTAATTATCTCGTAAATTATTATATGTACTACGCTGAAATTTTACAGGTAGACAACTGAACTAAACAACTAATTATTGGCATAACATTCAGTTTATATATCCACACACAGGTTTATCGGTGGCCAAAAAAGGCCGCACACATTGTGATCGTGAACGTGGAGAGCTACATTTCATCATAACTTTTTAGTCACTTACAGTATTCTTACGAAAATTCGTATACATTTGAAGGTAGTAACAAGCAATACAATAACGTTTCAAGTAAGTCTTTAGAGGTCTTATTTAAAGTGTTAGGACGTATTGAAGTGTTTTCATACTTACCTAAATAATTTTTAAACGGTCCATTATTTTTGTTATTTTATTGTCGAACAAATTAAAACTAATCCTTAAGAAGTTATGTACAAAAGATGGTTACAATCCGCTTACCCGTTTCAGAGATCCAGCAAACCCACAAACGTTACTCCAGCAGGATTTCGAATAACTTCACAGCCGAAGAAAATACAAATACCAAATAAGTTGTAACATTTACCTAGTCCAGATAACTAATTATTTAGCTAAAATTTATTTCAATATTACAATTAAAAACGAAAATGTCTGGCTGCGGTAACGTTTCAAACGTTACTCCAGCAGGAAATGTTTTTTTGAAATAACTAAAAAAGTTTAAGTGAAACAAATTTAAAAATGTGCTTAACAATTACAGAAGGGGAGCAACTAATTATCTATAAAGTTTAAATGACCATTTTCGACATTATTTTGCTGGGGTAACGCACACTCTTACGACACCCACGGGATGAATAGGGATGGTGACACTCCGTATTCTCAATCCGTCACCACACAGAATTTTTGTTATTTATATAATATCTTTAAAGGTATATAAAATTATTTTGTTCCAATAGACTTATTGGGATGCGTAGACATGCGAAAAACGTAGTGAGGATTTTTTTATTTACTAAAGTTGAAGGATATAAGTGTAGAGGACGACCAAAGAAAAAATGGATGGACTCGAAAGGGAGTACGTAGTGAATTGACGAGTGATAGAGGAGAATTGAAGAAAAAAAATCATTGCATCGACTGCAAATAAATTTGGCAAACTTTTAAATACCTGTTGCGGAAATATTTATTAAACTCCTTATCAGATCTACCTTAATTTGTTTATCTTTCTTCTAGAATTTATTATGTGGATAAATATATATATATATATATATATATATATATATATATATATAGTTATGTATATTTATGAGTTTATAGTATCATTATTACTTATTATATATGTATTATTTAGTAAAATATATTCTAATGTGATTAATATTAGTACTCTAGGTATATGATATCCTATATATGCTATATTTTTCATAAAATCACATTATAAATTTCTGTGCATCTACCATGTTTTAGTACTGCATCGCCCTAAGGTTGAATAGGAGAAAATGCCAACGGCATTAAGTCCGCCTTTGTCACATTTGTGCATAAAGTGTAAATAAATAAAAATAACATGAAATTAGATTCAGTTATGATTTTC